ATTACTAGCCCTAAGGTGGAGGGGGGCTGTGGTATCCACAACTCTCATTCTTATCAAAATGATCCTTTTTATCCTTAACAGATCTAATCTTTTATGGGAGAATAATATCATTCAAAGGAATTGATATTGGGAACCCAACATACACTCAGTTATTTTTTGGTCTTGGACATGTGTTTCTAATATATGGTAACTTTAGAAAATTTAAATGACACAAATAGATATGTGACATGATCCCTCCATCTCGATGTATCCTTGTTAGTATACATTCATGAAAGAAGATATGTATCCTTAAGATAGTCTATTTTCTTTAACATTCATGAAAGAAGACAGTGTGAAAGGGTTTTAAATTTTAATGTATCACTTGACTTTATTGGCTTCGATCTAGACTTTGTTAGTATAAAATAAGAATCATACTATTATGTAAAATAAATTTAATGTTAAATTTGAAATCAACTAACTATATATCAAAATTAAGATACATAAATTTTGATAATATTCATAATACCTTTATTTGATTCATAAAACATATTCTATAGTTCGTTATGTAAAATACAATAATAATAATTTATAAAAAGAACTAAGCTCTCGTTCTCTTCTCTTTTTATCTTTTATAAGATCATTATGGGCGATGAAATAGGGTCTAAAGAGAAACAAAAATAGATTTGTGATCTTGTGTCATATTATATTGTTTATTGTGTATAGTCCTTAGGAGATTCTAGAGAACTAAACTCTTCAAGACTCAATCAATATATCATTTCTGAGGTAGTCATAGCAATTCTTAATATCTATCTTTGAATAGCCAATAACATAAACTATCTTATTCATATTAACTATCTTAAAATTTATAATAAAAAATATCTTTGCTTTATATGATAAATCAATATCACTACTAACAACTAAAATATAATAAACTTGTTCTAACTAATTTTGAAATATACACATTGATTAATAATATTTTTTGAATTTCTAAGAAAGTAATAATATTATAAAATTTTATATATCATTTTTTAAATTTTTTCTAACCATTTATTTCATTAATTTTTTTATAGAGTTTTTATCAGTCAAGTCTATAAGTTTTTTGACAAATAAGATTAAGTCAAAATCTAATATATCAGAGAGTATAAGAATACTAAAAGTATGAGGATGTATGAAAAAAAGTATCATTATAAAATATAAAATATCATTAATATTTTATATTTTTAAAATATGATGAAATATTAATATCATCCATATTTCAGGTAAACTTTTGACATATATAATATTCACTCAAAATTATATATAAAAGATTAATATCATTTTTGTAGAATAGTATTGTTATCTTTAGATATATAATTCTTAGCCATAAAGATATTTAAAATATTATTAGTCTATCTCATAACATAATTATTTGAAGTAAATTTTATAAATAATAAAACATTTATTATAATTCACACTTCATAAGTCTATCATCTTTAGTCACTTTAGCAACTATTAGTTAAATAAAACTTATAGATATAAATTATAAATAATATTTACTAAATTTTTATTAATATAATTTATATGAAAATAAATTATTAATAATAAATATAATAAATATAATAATTATTATATTTATCAATATAAAAGAAAACTCATATAATGACTATAATCATGATAAAATATAAATAATTATTTTATATAAAAATAAATATATTTCACAATTTTCTTTCATGGTCATGTATTTAATAGTCACATAAATATCTAAAACAATAATTAAAATTTCTTAATAGCACAACTAGTTAATCTTAACAATAATAAATTATGTCACATGGATAGAAATAAAATATCTATAATTTATTTTTTTATTTAATTCTGATAAAAATATTTATCAAGTTTTATGACATAGTTTTATTATTATTAAATTATGACTACTGAGATAATATTTGTCAAATCAGAAGGATAAAATGGTAGGCAAAGGATATCAATAAAAAATAATCAATTTAATAAGGGTCAAATAGAAATTTTGTGACTAAGTGCATAAGTCAAAAATACTTGATTTTCAAAGAGTAAAAATATTACTAAGAGATATCGACTAAAATTAATAACTTTCATGAGGATAAAATTAAGCTTCATTGTGTGGAAACACTAAAACCCTCAAACCCTCTCATAGTGGTCGCCATAGTTTCCCATAGGCATGTGACTTAGTTGACCGATGATTTTTCATCCTCACACCCATGTTCATCGTTACTATGCATCGACATAGTGTCACCATTACATGTCATGCATTATCATTCACCACTACACATCTTTCGACCATCGTCAAAACCATAGCCCGTTCATTGCCTATAGTGTTGTGCATTGCCATAACACCTTCATTCATCGCTCGCAAGCAGTGGTGCACCCGGGTAGGGCCAATGATCGTTGGAGGTTATCACTTGTCGTTAGGCTATTGCACACAATAGTCACTGCTGTCATGCTTTTGCTATTGCTGTCATTGCCTATCATCGACCATCGTTACTACACACTAGTTGGACTAACAACCAAACCTTCACTCATCGCCAAGCCTACCGCATAGAACAAATGCTTATAATATGATTGTTACCATGCTTTTGTTGTGCTGCTTGTGGCATGGTCGGCAACCATAGTAAGCTATCGCCCTCCGCTAGATTGTCTCATATGATAGCGATGACTTCACAACACGTAGCAGCATCGTCGCATCCTAGTAGGTCGAGCAACCACAATAAACTACCGACCAATCGCCGCACCTCTGATGATAATATACTATTGTCATGGCAATGCCGATAATATCCCTATCATGGAAAGCAAGTTGCCCATGACCGTCAACAGGAAACCTCCATCTTCTGCAAGTAGGCGATTAAGGTAAATATGATAAACAACTAGATTGATGACATCCTTTTACAAGTGAATGGTACTCACAAAGAGATCAAAATATAAATTAAATCTATATACTTTTATGATCAAAGGTATTTGATTTCAAACATGGCTTTGATACCAATTATTGGCATAAAATTAAAATGATACTATTATACATAACAAATTTAATCTCAAAATTTAAAATCAAATAAACATCGATCAAGATTAGGATACATACCTTTCGATGCCTTTCAAACTATCTTTATTTGATTAGTAAAATACTCTTTGTAGTTCTATTCGTAAAACACAACAACAATGATTTGCAAAGAGAACTAAAGTCTCCTCCTCTCTTCCTATCTTTCATAGGATAACCATGAGTAATAAAATAAGGACTAAAGAAAGACAATAATAGATCTATAAACTTATCATATTGTATCATATATTATGTAAAGTCCATAGAGGATCATGTCTATTTATAAGAGAGAGCAGAAGGTTTAACATAAATAATTAGGAGAGTTTTTCCTATTAAAAGCCTTCTCCTAAAAAATCATATTAGAAGTGAACTTTTTTCTATTGATCGATAAACATAATTAGAATCTAATTAAAATTATAATATATCTTATCTAATTAAATATAACTATAAGTCAAAAATATCTATACTTTTCTTAATTGGGAGAGGAACCATTCCACAGACAATACAGTGCGTTGAAAGGTACTAGAGTTTATGGATGACTCATAGGGTGAAAGTCTTCATTTGGAAGCTCCTATTGGTTAGACTATCAATATTTGCTTGGATCTGTAGCTTCTCTAAGTTTGCTGTTTCACCATGTCCTGTTTATAACTAAGGACACATTGTGCAAAGCAAAATCTATCTTCATTTCTCATTCTTCGACTCTTAGAACTTTGGTAATTGATTGTTTGAAGGATAGAATTTTGATAGAACTTAACGAAAAACTCTTCTTAATATTGATTATTAATTCTCTTTAGATTCTTTGAAACCACCATACAGTTCTTATTGTGCAAAGCTGTTGTGCGAACACCCATGCTATGTGAGGTGCGGAGGGTGACGAGAAACAATCGATTCTTTGATGCTTTTGCTATTGTTCCTTCGGCTTTCATTTATGTGCTGGAATGCAATGCTTCTTTCTCCTCCTCTGCTGAAGCCATAGGTTTAGGTTTCATCCTCAAAAGACAGGGAAGAAAACATCCTCGAAGTGGCAACTCTTACTCTACTACTGCCCAAAGTATTATGCAAGCTGAATGTAAAGCTATACCAGAAGTAATCAAATACATTACTTCACAAGGCATTGATTCGGTTCAAATACTATTCACTACTCTGTTTTAATTTATAGCAAGTTAGCAAGTTAGCGAATATATAGTTAGTCGGTCATTACCCATCATGTAAGCGTTAGACGACCCGACACTCGCTTACCCGCATGGATAGAAGTCCACGTGATAACTCGGATTGATTACAATTGACCTCCCTAACGGAATATTTATAGAAATATTTTCATGAGTCCATAAGCAACTCGAGTCAGTTACAAACCGTCTCCCCTACGGAATATTCAAATAAACATTTTTTTGAGCTTAGAGACAATCCGAGTCGGTTACAAACCGCTTTTCTTGTGAAATTTTTATGAAATATTTGATCTTTTCAGTATAAAAATCCACCCTCAATTAATCATATACTTTGTTTGTATTATTGTGATGAGAACTTCTGTGATTTGAGGGAATTATAGCTGGAAAGTCTCGGCGCAGTATGGAATTGGAGATTAATAACGTGTATTCCTCTTTAGTACGAGTACGGGTTGGGATTTTTCTTATTGGATCGCACCCAAAAGTTTGGGTTAGACGAAATCCGAGTTTGGTCAAATTAGAAGGAGTGTGTCGGATCGGAATCCGATTGGGTTTCGTTATCGGATCGTAAATACGGTCCAATTAAAATCTATCTCACGTTATCGGATCGGATCTTATTGGGTTGTCGCTCCAATTAAAATCTCTCTCACGTTATCGGATCGGATCCGGGTCTGTGTAGAGGATCGGTTTTGCTGGTCCGATTACGCACGGATCTCAAAGCAAATCCAACGATGCTCTGCGTCCGCTCAGCTATGATATGGCATGCATAAATGCATATATACATCCATACATACGGCATACGTGTATCGGGAGTTCTATATGTATAGGTTTGTCATAGGAGAACGAGCGCCGCCGGAAGTCTCCAGGAGAGGAGTCGTCTATCGGGAGTTCCTCGAGAGCCAGACATGGCGTTGAGCCGCGGCATCCGATCCGGGTTGAAGCTTTTGTCGCACTCCGAAGCCGCCCTTCCCAGATCAGGCGGGTCTATTCTCCCTCCTCTGAATCTTCTTGGTTGGTTCGCTTGATTTAGGGCTTAAATTCCATCGATCTGTTCGGAATCCTGATGTGATGTGGGGTTCTCCGCGGTTCAACCTAGTCGTGGTGCCTGATATGTTACTATCCTTTGATCGGTTGCTTATTATCGTATCATTCTTTTCGATCTACGTTACGGAAAGAATCTGATGATCGAAAGGTGGCCTATTGCTGCTCTTGATCGCCTGCGGTGGCGTGATTGTTTTGATCCCCATTCGTACCCTTTATTTGGTTACTTTGCGAAAGATAACATAGTTTTGTTGGTTCACAAGTTGAAGGTAGGGAAGAGGATGGAACTTAGAAACCATGAGTGTGTTATATGCTTTTTGATGATAATTTTTGGATCTAAATGTTGTAAACTCATTCGATGGTATCATCCAGCTAGGGAAATAATTCAATATTGCTTCATGTTATGCTGAACTGATCACAGAGATTAAAATTGAAGCGAACACAGTAGCACTTTTGATGAAATCAGTTGTATTCGAGATGTGTTGAACTTGATCTAGATCTCACAGTATTTGAAACGTTCAATCTTCTACTAGTGATTACTTTTACCATCTTTCTTGAGAGGGTTGATGAACTAGGTTTTGTAGTGCCTATACTTATTTTAGTCAACCAGGACTGGCTTTATGGAGAATTCTTGTGCATGCCTTGATGACGGCACTTTAGGAATAAGTTATTACTTTAGACCTGAACTTGCTCCTTTTTGGTATAAAGTTTCTCCTTTTTGAGTCATGGAAACGATCTTTCTACATTTAGGGGAAAGGCTGTGTATGTTGATCCTAATGGTCAATTAAAATAAGTGGTGCTTATGGTTGGAAATTGAGAAAATGGAGTCACATATATGTAAAGAAAAGAAAATATTGGAAGCATCAGATACATCTTCTCTTGGGTACAGACCTGTTTATCATCTGATCCTTTGCTAAAAAGTTCTGTCAGATTTTTATTTTTTGTTTTGAATGCATGTATCTTCAAAGGCACTTACTTGGATATGGTTCATATATATTTTGGACAATACGTGAAGGAACACTGCACATTGACTTTCTCTGTGCTTAGTTGCAAGCAATAGTAGAGGAAACAGGAAATTATTGGTAATACGTAGAAACACTGACATAAGAAACTTGCAGCATGCTGTTGTCCTTTTCATTCTTCTCAATTAGCCAGTAGTGATATTGATTTACAACTATATTATCTTTTTATTGTTTCTACTCTGCATGTCAATAGTGTCTTGAGATGGATTGAAATTGCATCTCTGTGCCTTTTTCCCTCTCTTTTCTGTGTTTTAGTCTGTATTTTGTCTTAATGAGTAGTAGGAAAGCTCCATATAAAATGCATTTTTAATATGACATCCTAGTTTAGTTTCACAGTCGAATCGAAAGAAATTTTGAGTTGTTTGTAGAGTTAGATAAGTTTATATTATTAACCTGGACTTGAGTTTTTTTTTCCATGTGGTTTCAGTTAATAAACTGGTTTTCATCAGATCGAGTTGTGATAATCGGTACCAGGGTGGACATAGTACTTGGTTTGTTGAGGAGCCCAACTATAAAAGGGTTATTAGTGGACGGGACAAAAATATGTCACAATGAAAAACCATCAATGGGTTCGACCACCAACCAATTATGTTTTCATCCCAAGTTGGGACTTGGATTTTGACAAGAACATTAAGCCTTAAATGAAGGAAATTATGACACATTCCATATTGGATGTAGGAGGAGAATTGACTTGGTTTATATGACTAAATGGATATAATTGGGTTTAATTATTTTTGGCCATGTGGTCTCAAACCCATCAAGCTAATGAGTTACACTATCGGGTCGGACTGTGACATAAAACGTAATGATTTATTAAAAAAAAAGATAGAAAATTTATGCTGAGTCTCAACATGTTGAAAATTCATGTTACTCAAATCCCTCCTTTAGAGGGTTTGACATGATGATAGTCTGCTTCAACCAAATGCTGAGTTGCCGAACCCTTTAAACGATATGTTTGTTTGGTAAGTCTCTCATCTATTCTAATTTTGCGTCGTCAAACTGGTTTTTCGCATTGCCTCTTTTTATCTTTTATTGTTTGCATTGCCACTTTTTATCTTTTATTTACTTCTATTTACTGATAAAATGTTGTTTGACCTGACGGCAGTGACCCATGAATTCCATGCGACGAGCATGAAGAGAATGGGAGGGCATGGCCATGATGAGCCCTTCTACGTTCATGCTAAACACATGTATAACCTGGATCGCATGAAGCATCAGAAGCTAAAGGTGACTCTGGGTGTGCTATCTGCATTCAGCATCGGTGTGGTAGTTCCGATTTATGCAGTTATTTTCCAGCAGAAGAAAGCTGCCTCTGGATGAGATTTGCATGCAACCTAGGAAAAATAATGACTTTTGCTTGATTTCCTCTGGTATTTGTTTGCTGGAGACATTTGCCTTTCCATCGATTTCTTATGTTCTGCTCTAAAAATTGAAAACAGATTCCCATAGTCTATTGTGACGTGGTGATTGTTTGCTTTTTTCTTCTTTGATAAGGAAGGTTGGGTTTGTCTTTCATCAGTTTGATGCTTGTGATGAATGGAGGCATCTGATGCTTTCATCTTTGCGACGACTTTGTCATTTAGGAGACTTGCAATTGTTATCCCATAGTGTTGCTTTACTAAGTATTCAGTTAATGGAGTGTTTTAATGCATAGTTGATGGATTGGTTAATGCATTGTTTCACAAGTGTTAAAGCTTATTTGCTATTGTAGGCAGTCATTGCAGTTTACTGTGCCAGTTATCAAATCCACACAGATTGATACAAGGAAAATACTCTGCGAAAATAACTATGCTTGTGAGCTTCACTGCAATTGTCATTGATGCTGATTGCAAATTGCCTAATCATGATTAATGCCTATTGGTGCGTGCATACAAATGCTGACTGCTAATGTTCATTCTAAAATTCCAACTCAAGAAAATGCAACCTAACGAGTTCATGTTGGCTTGAAGCAATGAAATGGCAAGGTGATGATTGACCAATAAACGAGTCAAAGGTCAAGCAGAGCAACAGATCTCGATTCGAATGACCACACTGTGAATGAGCACAGAAAACAAATTGCAGATGGAATAACATTAATAGTGGCAAACAGCATTTCCCATCGTGAAAGAATATTATCATTGCACTATTTTTCAAACATCAAATGAATTTTTGACACTTGATTTGAAGCAAAAAAAATAAAAGGCTATAGATTATCATCTACTGTTACATGGAAAAAGGAAGCGAAATCTCGCATCATCCGTGGTTGGTGATAGACCCTTATGCTTTCGTCGGCACCATTTCCTAAATCAAAGAAAGATCAGCCGAACCAAACTACACTATTTTGCCAGCTGACAACATCTGTTGGAGCCGAAGCACTTGCTGTTGCTGTTCTTGAGGCAATGAGCTCAACTGTTCTGGAGTCAGGCTAAGTACTTGCTGCAATAGAGCTGACTCTACTTCAGGTGAAAGCTGCAGAGAGAAAATAAAATAAAATAAAATAAAATATGATTTGCGGTGAAAGATAAAAGCATGAGACTGCACATTAGGCTTACATGATCACAGAGCAAATTAGTATAATACATGATGAGAGTCATATTATGGAAAAATTCAAATGCTCAAATCAACGAACATGGTTGTTACGAACTATCAGTCGATTCCATGGTAACTCGTGTAAGAAAAAGCAAGCAAATTGTGATGTTGGGGTTTCGAATGCTGATTTGCTCAAAACTCGATACACAACTTAATCAGATCCTAAATGTACATGCGACAACAATACCAAGTTCGTGCGGATATGGATTGAAATCTTATAAACACCCAACTCTTTTTTGGACACTAGACGGACAGAAAGGATATAAATGTTTGACATAAGACTACCTTCAAATACTACAAAACACATGTATTGTTTGATCTGTGAAACATGCTTTATGAGATGATAATATATCAGCATTTTTATATAAGTTAGTTGATCATCGCCTTTCTCTTGCTAAAACATATATTGGAAACATACTTCAAGGTAATTTATCCCAAGTTCCAAAATTTTCTTTCCCGCATTGGTCATAATATAAGCTGATTACCATGTTGTCACGGACAGAAGATTTAGTAAGTCAAGGTCAGAAAAAGTTACAACCTTATGGTTACTTTTCATAAGCCTTACTAACACAAAAGTTCCTTAATCAATATTTACAATATACTTAATACATGACGAAAGAAACCAGGAAAAAATGAACTCGAAGTGATAACATAACAACAAAGAATTAAGATCATAATTAGTTGGAGGTGTTGCTTGGTTGATAATATGGGCTTTCCAAGACACTGCATACATATTGCAACTATTCAATTTGAAAAGAAATAAGATTTTACCATTAAATATCAGAATTAAAGTATGAAATTCCTATGAGAACATATGAAAACAAGAGGTGAATTACAAATAAAGGTGGTGAGATGACTAAAAATATTATATCTATTTCTAAGACATCCAGGAAAATGGTACCTGAGGCATCTGCTTCTTAGAATGTTGAACTGCATCTCCCACGACCATTTGGCTCCCAGCAACTATGCCAGTGCCAAGTGCTTGAAGTGAGGAATTATTAATGCCAGAATTGCCATTCACTATTTGGGTAACACCACTTCCATCTTCTAATCTTCGTAATTTTGAATGATAATTCGACGGTTCCGATACATTACCTGTTAATCTGGTTTGATCTGCTAATCCCACACCTAAATTTTGTGTCCTAAATCTGGAATGCCAGGTTAAATCTTCAATCGCAGAAGATGTTGAAACTCGTTTTGGAAGTGTCTCCAGTCCAGCTGACAGCAGTGGGTCATTTGATGAGCCAGTCTATCAGGAAAACAGGAATTGTCAGTATAACAGTAGAACAATCCCACACAAACATAGCACATTCCCCTACTGATATATGAAACTTCAAAAGGTTATAATGTTATATGAACAAATGCGTAATCCAAACACACTAAATAAGGAAAGAAGGATACAAATGCATTTTCCTGTTGCTTTTACCCCAGAAAAATCAAACATATGAAAAATTAAATCATCACTATCAAACCATGAGAAAGCCAAACATACCAAGTGAAACAAGGATTCAAATGCATTTTCCTGTTGTTTTTAACCCAGTAAAAGTCAAATTCATGAAGAATTGAATCACCGCCCTGAAACTACTATAAGTTTCATTCAGCAACCCTACTCCATAATTAAAAGGTCATGCGATTAAAGAGAAATTTTTAATGCTTTCAAAAGGACCAACAACAAATACTGCATATTAACCAAGTGTAGCAAGCATCTGCGTCTTTTCCAAAATAAGGAACCTACAAAATGCCTTGAGGTTAGAATATGCTCCCCAGGATTAACAGACTTTAACAATGTTTTCAACTTAACATCAAGCCTCCCATGATTTCAATTTCCTGACAAAGCAGTTAGACCAGGAAGGGAATTTCAGGAAAACCTCGGAATAAATTTTGTCTAAGGTTCTGCAATAAATAAGCGGCCATCCAAATTTCGGCTCACACTGTCACAGCAGATTAAAAGCGTAAAAGAGGATATGAATTAGGAAAAGGCGAGAATTTTCCCTGGCATCATACCTCGACTAACACAGCCATGAGGCTGCATGCAGGAACAAGACAGACCTTCCTAATCTAATAGATAAAATTTGTTGATTCTGCCTGATAGAACTCAAGAGCTGAGAATCTAGATAATAAACATTAAATTACTTAATGAGAAGTCTTACCTGAGAAGTAAGTGAATGCGGCAAAATTGACTGTTGCAGAGCTGTATTTGGAAGGGATAACTGAGGATGATGTGCTAAACTTGCAATAGCAGTTGATAAAGGTTGCTGTGGAAGCAGGGGTTCACTCTCTGATATCAGCCCTTTGGATGTTGATAAAAGAGAAGGCTGATGTGGAACGCCGCCAATTGATTGAGGCCATCTTGATGGTATTGTAGCAACTCCAGATTTCTCCACCACAGTTCCTTGTGATACCTGACCTTGTGGAAGTAATGGGAGTTGATATTGTGGTTGAACAAGGACTTGTTGAAGAGGTAATGTCGCCTGGTGTAGGATTCCAAGGCTTTGTGATGTAACTGCAATGTGACTCTCAGGTGGCCGGGGGAACTTTCCACCTAGTGCTTGTGAAGATGTCAGCCCGACGTTAGATGAATTCTGAGGGTTTGAAATTGATGATTGGCCACTATTTGCAATCTGCATCTGCAGTCAAGATCAGTTACAAGCATTTGATGTTAGCATAAGCTCCACAAATTGCCATTATGTATTAGACTTCAGATAACCAAGACAGACCACTGGCTGTGCAGCCATGCCAACCATTATCTGCACCTGCACCAGGAACACAGTACAAAATCCAGTTTCAGATTATCTCATCATGTGATACAACAAACCTGTAATGGAAAACAACTTTAACAAGGCAGGAGAATCTCCACAGGAGTGTAGCCATCATTGCTTTACATTCTTATTGAAAATGACTCATAACAAATAAGGCACCGAAGGCTATCCAACAATATCTTGCGAAGTCCAGCCTCCAAAATGTTTGCTAATAAACTCCTAGCTGATACCAAGACAAGAAAAACTTGACCAAACACCAAAAGACTAGTAGGTTGGCAAAAATCTCTAACTTGGTAGTCGCAGTTTAAACTCATGTACTCAGAACAACACTCAAGATTCTTGAAGATTTGAAGAGATTAAGGAAAATCAATGGGCTCACTAAAAAAAGAAAATTTCATTCAGCTGGCACAAATAAGCCAATGATTAAACATGCCACCTAATTTATGTTAAGTTAAACTTTATAAATATAAATTACAAGCAACATAATGATGTCAAGTGATTACCATTCCATTGTCAACAGATACGATGCTGGCACAACCCTTCTAGGATGGCTGATTAATGATCTAGATTACTTGAGGCATCGCCTTTGAATGGAAAAAAGAGAAATTAAAGGTCTTGGTTAGCTGGTAAATGTTTGCAGGAGAAGGGTCAAGAAGGTTAATTGCTGTAATTCTACAAGTACTTCCAGAAGACTTGAAAATTAAAGTTAAACAGGGTGTCTTCTCCACCAGTTTGGAGAGGCACTCTGAGATCAGGTTCTTAAAAGACTCATGGATGTTAGTTTCCTACCTCTTTGGCAATGTTTGTTCATTCGATTATGAAGGTCTCAGTTTTAAGGTTAATGAGCATAGAAAATCTGAATGGAAGAGTCAGCCAAGCAACTATTTTACTCCCTAGTTAGTTCCTATGACATACAAAAGATACAGGAATACACAGTGTTCACATTACCCGATAAAGTTACTTAATAATTAACCTGTTATTAACAATCTTGCTTAAGTGTTACAGTGTTAGCTCAAGAAATGCACAATCACTGTCAATCATTAGAAGCTGTGTCTGCTAGTTGTCATAAATGTCTGCCAGGGAAAAGAGGTAATCTTGAGATGGATTTGTTAGTATGTTATGTTAATTCTTTTGGAAGGAGAAGAATCGATGAATATCTTTCATTGTTTAGACTTTCAAGATTATATTTAACATTTTTTCCCTTTTGCTGCCCAAAAATTTTATTTGTCAGAGATGCATCCGCCAACATAGTAGGATTTACAATTTGCAAATTCTCTTTTGTTGTCTCATCCCATCATCAAGAGGATTCCACTGTTATTAATTTTATTTTTCTTTCTTCTTGTATTTAATTCATTAACTTATGAAATAAGCTGGCAGTTTTCTGTCTCTGCCTAAAAAGAAAGGACCTTTACAACATCCACTGATCCCCTCCCCCGCTACTGGCAAACAAATACACAAAAAAAAAAAGAACATAGAAATTCAACACAAGTATACAAAAGAAAGAAACAGATCTTTGCCTAGTCATAAGATCAAAATAGACAAGCTTTAATTGCAACATTTCCTGAAAATTCAAGTTCGTGTTTGGATTTATAAGTACGTTCTCTGCAGATAACAAACAAAGATCATCCCATAGATCTAGAAACAGAGTCATCAGCGAGTTTAACATCACCTGAAAGAGGGCTTTTGCCAGCTGTGGACTTGCTTGCATAAGTTGTCTAGCTAGTGCCTTGTTCTGAGTAGCAAGGGCCTATCATCAAATTAAGACAAACTTCACGTCATGCAAAAATTATTAGTAGGAAAAGAAGGGAGCAAAAAGAAAAGAATTGACCTTCATCTCGGATAAAATTTCATGCAATTGGTGTCTAGATATTCTGGACAGATAGTGAGTCAAGGGATCACTTCCTGTTCCTGACTGGCCCGGTAAAACACTTTGTGCATTGGAAATCTGAGCCCCACCCAAAGCTCCAGCCATGACAGATGCAGCTGTTGCAGCTAAGGGGAGACCTACTGGCTGATGAAGAGTTGAGTCACCCAAAACAGGGGCTCCACTAAATTGTTTTTGAACATCTGTTATATATGAAAAAGCATGTTAACAAAGACTGTGAATTAAAAATGGAAGAAATGGAATAAAAGAAAACATGAAAAACCAAATTTGACATTGATAAATTGAGAAAGGGAACCTGCACTTGGTGCCAATCCTGGTCCACCATGGCCCTGTAAAGGTAATACTAATTAGAGTACAAAATATCTACTTCATGAGTTTCATCTTATAGTATAGTTCAATATATTGAATGCACCAACCTTCTAGGAAAAAAGATGACTGATAAAATTTCCAGTCAAATGTACATTAGTATAAAACTATAAAGCACATATGCAGACAACCGAGAATTCAGATACTTTAGAGAATATATTTATGTGAACATTCATCTTCTGCCTAATTAGTAATGACTTGATCAATAATAACAAATGCATCATCATGGCCTTTAAAAGTTCCTTATCAAAATATATTCTTTTGCGGATACAAAGATATATTTTCCTGGTTAGGTAAAAAGAAGAGTAAGTTTAGATGATATTAACAAAGAGAGAGGAACTAGTGATGAGGAAAAATATGCCAAAACTGGCTTGCTAATACTTTTATTAAGAACAATTGGCACAATAACATCATCTGACAGCAAGAAACTTTTTGAGTGAGTTAAGCCAATATCATTGTTAAGGTAAGAATATTTTATACCCAAGGCCATACAAAAGGGTAACTCCCGGAATAATTAAAACACTCCTATGAAGTCGACAGCTAAAGGATGATGACCTGCTCCCTGTTGCGATCAGAATTTTTATCATTTTCGGCAAAATCAACTCGTAATTGTCGCCCATTTATTTCATAACCCTGAAGGTTGCGGCGAGCACTCAGAGCAGTCTCTTCATCTTTGTATTCACAAAATCCATAACCTTTGGGCTTTCCAGTTTCTCTATCATAAACCAACCTGCATCAACTTTATGCAGTACCATTAAGAAGAATACACAAAGGAAGATATAAACAGATATTCCCATGTAGAAATGTTCCTAGAGTTCCCTATACATGCCTGTAGAAAACCATGCATCATTAATAGCTTTAGAGATGGAACTTTAAAATTTGTACATTGGTTACTGTCATATATATATACATATATATATACATATACATATATGTATATACACACATACAGATACATATATATATAAACACAAACACACACACACACACATATATATATTAATATATATATATATATATATATATATATATATATATATATATAATTATGCTATTTAACATATATTGAGTCTATAAACAATGAATAAAGTTTTAGAACATACATACCTGTTCTAGATATAACATACACTTCGGGTAGGGCATATGAAAAGTTTTAGAGCATACATACCTGTTCTAGATATAACATACTCTTCGGGCAGGGCATATGAAAAGTATAGTCAAATGATGTAGGATCACTCATCAACTCATGTTTACGAATAACTAGTAGCTAATAAGTGCTTCACTAGCCTACAGTATAATCATATAAAGAAAGTTGGGGACCTGAACCATGAGACAATACCTGCAATCAAATGCAAGGCTTGCTTTACAATCATGTTAATCAGATTGAAAGATGTGAAAAATGCTTAGATTGATGAAATGATCTAGGGTTTACACATACATATGTTTCTCAATTGTTGTTAGAGTAGAAACTTAGAGATTATAAGGATACAAATATAGGACTTGCCATTTGTTAAGCTATTTCTCGAGAATGAAGAGTAACTAGAAAGTAGATTATGTATCATAGTTTCAGAAAAAGAAACGAAAAAGGCACAAAATAGAATGTAAAAGAAAAAGGTTCAGGATCACAAGATATACCAATGAAAGAAATTATCAATCAAGTCAAAATCAAAGTGAATTAACTTTATGAGTTGATAACTCAAAACAATGTAAAGTATCAGATGATTGATGGCAAAGATTTAGGTCGTGGATGTCCGTCAACAAATTTGAGAAACAACTAAAATGTGAAGGTACATATTGTGGATTGCACCACTGTGAAGGTACATAGTGTGGATGTCCCTATGCATTCTCCACCTCCTCGGCACCATGCACGACCAAGCGCTTTCCTTTAATGAGAGCAAAGGATCGATGACTCTACGGAAGTCCTTCCTCTGCGGTACCATGGCATTGCCATGCCAATGGCCCTACTATCCGTCATCTCGCATCTGCATCCCTTTCTTCGTGATAGGTCGATTCGCCTTTGCAGCACTATAGTACTTCTCCAAATCCACCTCTATTCTAACCGGCGCTTGGTTTTGTGTAACCGAGTCCCTCTGGACTCATCGTCGCTTCCTCGCCCCTTTCGACCACCTGTTTTAACACCTCTGTGTTCTCCGAATAATTCCCCTTAGTCGATGGAAAGACAAACTGCAACTCCCATACTGTCACGGACAAACTTCTAAACAGGATGTTTGATGTAATGCTTATGTATGTCCGTGTCTTTTGATATGTTCATGCCTTGTACAGCATGTAGGGGGACGGCCAAAGGCTTAATAGTCCCATTTTAGTTGGGTTGGTGGCCTCTTTAGGCTTGTAAATAAAGGTTGTGTCATGTGGACACGTGCGAGAGATTTTCGGTCTATAATGGATCATTTTACCCTTTGTTGTGCAACTGTTCAAAGCTTGTAAAGTCTGTTTATAATTTGCATTGTCTATGAAGTGTTTTTCAGAGATGTTTGCTTGTGGATCCCGATTGAGGCGTTCTCTCTAACCCGTTCTCTCTTTTGTTGGTCCTAAGGGACAATGGGAGGCTTCGGGGAGGCTGACCTTTGCGGACGGACACGCAAGGGTGCCGCACGACTTAGGCAAAACCAGCTAAGTCCGTGACAGATGGTATCAGAGCGGGACAAGCACTCATAGAAACACTTAGCACACAAACGTGGGGGACCTAGCGGGGCTGCGTTGAGGGCAGTCAGCACACACGCGACCGTTTGGGGGAAAACGGGCATGGAGATGTAGGGAAAAGGAGTCGCTCGGAGGAGCGGGCATCTGAGATTGGCATTCAGAGGAATGGCCAACCCTTCGCGCAAGAGGCGCCACGAGAACAGATAAGCTTGGAAGAATGTGGAGCGCACAAAGGTTGGGATGGCTGAGTTTGAGCTATGGCTCAACGTTGACAACTATACTTGATGGTGCTCAAGGCAAGCGAGGCGCTTGGTAAAGGATGAGAACATGCAAGGTGGAATGAGTTGCTCAGCGATCGAAAGAGTTGTGCAAAGCTCACAGAGGTGAGGGGAATTGCTAACTCAAAGAATTCGGTACTCATGCATGGGCTTGTATGCGGACGATGGAATGTTCGCGGCCATCCCAAGGCGACCGAAACTCGACGCCATGGAGCATTAAAACTTTCTCTTCGGCATGTGAAGGATACGTCCGTAGGAGGCTGAAGTGTGCAACGAGTTCAGCATGTTGCTAGGCCTTGAGTGGTGCAGCGGGGGCTGTATTGACGTGGAGTCGCAATCTAGCAAGTGTGTTTGCAGGAGGCAGAACAATGCACAGTTTGTTCAGCAGATCGGAGTAGTCCAAGGGGATGGTGGTCTCCGAAACGAAGAGAGATGTTGCTCCAACGGGACAGTTATCCAGGAGGGATAAGTCCCGACTCTCCAGAGGGAGAATCATGTGGGACGGACCGCACATGTTGAGGAGGAGTGTACCTCAACAAACAACAACTCTACGAAGCTCAATGGACCGAGCAAGCGGTGAGGAGTCATCGCATGATCTCGCTTGAGAGAATGCATTGGTGGATGCATTGCGAGATCAAGTGGGGAGCGTCCCAAAGCAACACAAATGAAGGCACACTTGGAGTCGATTTGGAGATCGGACTCAAGGGAGGGCTGACCCGTGGAATGGTGGGCGCGAGGGCCACTATCGACTCAATGCAAAAACGAGGAGCGGAGCAACTTGGGTATAACTTGGCGAAGTACCCAAGCCGCATGAAGGGAGCCAGCATAGAAGTTGGAACATGGAGCAGAGGCACAGTGCTTTCCCTAGACAGAGGTCAAGGACATGAACTATTGCAGAGGCAGGAGTAGAATCATGTTGTTCCATGGGTCATTCATTCTATCAAAGAGGACTCATCTTGTATGGTGTCAAAGATGAAGGGAGCTTCTGGGCACATGCACCTTATCTCGGAGGAGCATTTGATGGAGGAACTAAGGCGACTCAATTTGCGGAGGCGAAGTTGGGTTCAGAAGGCCTTAGCACGGGGCAAGAGGACGCAGAGGCGGGTACTCTTGAAGAATATGCCACAGTGTTGCCATTCCAGTTGTCATGAAGGAAGCGGTGCGCAGCGGAGATTGTGCTGGTAGGGGCAGAGGCCCAGGATCCAGACAATGGTGCACTAATTACAACGAAGTCGGGGGACTTCGGGAGCTACTAGGCGACGGACTGTCCTAGAGCGGTGCTTCATCTAGGTGTGACCCAAGAGTGGGTGGATGAAGGTCGATTGCCAAAGGAGCGAACAAAATCGAAGGTGGAAGAGACCCTGCGATGTATTGGCAGAGGCCACACATGGAGGGTTCACAATTCGAGTTTATTCCACAAGGATCAGAATGCAATGGAGATGTCACCAGGTGGCGACATGGTGCAGCGGATCGTGGTGGAACAGTTCGTGGCAATACGATACACACGACATAGTCCCGTGAGGGACTAGATCATACGGAGGTATGATCAGGAGTTACTGGAAGCTCCACTTCGGTGAACAACACGACGGCAAGAAGGGCTATGGATTCAAGGAGTGAAGGCCATGGTACTGCAGAGGCGAGTCTTCCGTGCGTGCATCGAATTTTGCATCGGATGAAAACCTTGGTCATCAGCATATGGGGGCTGTGTTCCACCAAGGGAAAAGTTCGAATGCAAGTACCAGTGAGTTCCATGGGAGGGACTTGATCATGCAGAGGTATGATCGAAGCAGCTGGAGAGTTGGACTGCTCCAGAGCTCATATTCGCTTAAGGGAGCCCGACAAGTCAGAGGACAAGGTCGAGTAAGCGAACGTTGCTACCAAGGAAGCTAAGGAGAACAAAATCGGTGCAGACCCTATAATGCGATGGCAGAGGCCATGCATGGGAGTTGCAGTCTGTCTTTCCATCGACCAAAGAAGAGCTACTTGGAGAACACAGAGGTGTTGAAGCAAGGGGTCGAAAAGGGCGAGGAAGCAACGACGAGTCCAGAGAGACTTAGCTACCCAAAATCAAGTATCAGTTAGAATGGAGGTGGACTCGGAGGAGTGCCACAGAGGCATATCTACTGATTGTGAAGAAAAGGGATGCAGATGCGAGGCGACGGATAGTAGTGCCATGGGCATGGCAGCGCCATGGTACCGCAGAGGCGGGACTTCCGTGAAAGTCATTGATCCCTTGCTCTCATGGAGGGAGAGCGCTTGGTCGTGAAAAGGGCCGAGGAGGTGGAGCATGCAGAGGCAATCTCCAAGTACCGAGACAAGGCTGAAGGGCAGAGGCCGAGGAACTTCGTAAGACCGGTGTCAATGAGCTTCTCATCAAGATAGTCGAAAGTGAAGGACTTCGGGTCATGCAAGAGTGTATAACCAAGGAACGAAGCAAGCAGTACGCGGTGCTGTACCTTTGCTACTCAGTGGAGTAGGCGGCAGGGTTGATAGAGAAGACGGTACAATCCCAGAGGCGACCAAACCTATGAGAGAATTACTCCAAGTTGGGGTGAAAACTTCCTGCATTCCAGAAGTTCGATGGCATTGAGAAGGTGAATCACAGTAACTAACTCAACGCAAGGAGTGCAAACACTTCAAGTGCTTCAGAAGTGTGAGCAAAGAGCAGGCGAAGGCCAGTAACCAGCTCGATGCATGGAGTACAACCTCGAGGAGGCGGGCAAAGTCAAGTAACCTTTGCCTTCTCAACTCTTAAGAGAATGGGCGAAACCGAGTACCCCAATTCTCTTATCTATCTAGCAAAGGAGCTCTGCATATGTTCAAAGACCCTTTGAAGATAATGGAAGACAATGGTTGTCAAATCCTCACCAACGGTGATCAGTGTTACTGAGAGTAGATTGTCCGCTTCATTTCCCAACGAAATGTCAATCGAAAGTGGAAGTGATGCGAACCTACTTGGATGTGACAACTAAGTGAAAGAAGAGTCACTGAGCAAATTTTGCGGAGGAAGGACCTAAAACTTCAGAAGTTTGCGAGACGATGCTCGTTAAAGCTCCAACAAGCATCCACCCAGTTCAAGCAGCATGAGGAATTTGAGAGACTAGAGCAGTAAGGATGGTCTTTTCCTTCATCTGGGGGATCCGCAGGAATCAACAATGATCAACACAACTCAGCCAACCCCACACCAGAGTCAGAGTCATTGGTGAGTTGAAGCAGCATGGTGGATCAAAGGTTCGACTACTCAAAAACAGCAGCGGAGAGCAGCTAGGAGCCAAGAGGCGCATTGTAGCTGGAGCAGAAGATTGAAGACTCAGCAAAGGCGAGGAGTTACAGTGTCGACAAAGGCTTCAACGAAGACGTCGAAGGAATAAGTGGGGGAGAATGTCACGGACAAACTTCTAAACAGGATGTTTGATGTAATGCTTATGTATGTCCGTGTCTTTTGGTATGTTCATGCCTTGTACAGCATGTAGGGGGACGACCGAAGGCTTAATAGTCCCATTTTAGTTGGGTTGGTGGCCTCTTTAGGCTTGTAAATAAAGGTTGTGTCATGTGGACACGTGCGAGAGATTTTCGATCTATAATGGACTATTTTACCCTTGGTTGTGCAACTGTTCAAAGCTTGTAAAGTCTGTTTGTAATTTGCATTGTTTATGAAGAGTTTTTCAGAGATGTTTGCTTGTGGATCCCGATTGAGGCGTTCTCTTTAACCCGTTCTCTCTTTTGTTGGTCCTAAGGGACAATGGGAGGCTTCGGGGAGGCTGACCTTTGCGGACGGACACGCAAGGGTGTCGCACGACTTAGGCAAAACCAGCTAAGTCCGTGACAATACGTGGCCTCTGCCATCATGTTGTTGGGCTCAAGCCGATTCTATTCTCCTTTGTGTCCTTGATAGCAATGTTCGCTTACTCGGCCTTGTCCTCTGACTTGTGGATCTCCCTTAAATGAATATGAATTCTAGAGTAGTCCAACTCTCTAGTCGTTCTAATCATACCTCTATATGATCAAGTCCCCTCATAGGACTCAATGGTACTTGCACTCGGAATTTTCTCTCGATGGTACACAGCTTCTCATATGCTGATGACCAAGGTTTTCATCTAATGTAAAATTCGATACACGCATGAAAGACTCGCCACTACGATACAATGACATTCACTCCTTAAATCCATAGCCCTTCTTGTCATTGTATTGCTCTCTAAAGTGGGGCTCCTAGTAGCTCCTAATCATACCTTTGTATGATCAAGATCCTCGCAGAACTTCTCCCGTGCGTGTCGCATTGCCTCGAACTGTTCCACCATGATTCGCTGCACTATGTCGCCTCCTGGTGATGTCTCCATTGCATTTTGATATTTGTGGGATGAACTTTGACTGCAATCTCTCCATGTGTGACCTCTACCAGCACATCACAGGGTCTTCGCCACCTCCGATTGTGCTCGCTCCTTTGGCAATCGACCTTCGTCCACCCGCTCTTGGGTCACAATTGGACGAAGCATAGCTCTAGGATAGTCCATCGCCTAGAAGTTCTCAAAGTCCACTAACTTCACTAAAATTGGTGAATTATTATCTGGATTCTAGGTTTCTACCCCCCAGCACAATCTTCGTTGTGCACCGCTTCCTTCGCGACAACTCGAATGACATCACTGTGACATATTCTTCAAGAGTACCCGCCTTCGTGTTCTCTTGCCCCGTGCCAAGGCCTTCTGACCCTAACTTTTCCTCCGCAAGTTAAATCACCTTAGTTCCTCCGTCAAATGCTTCATTGAGATAAAATGCATATGTCTCAAAGCTCCCTTTGACTTTGGCACCATGTAGGTTGAGTCCACACCATCAGAATAAGGGACCCATAGAACGATATGATCCCGCTCCTGCCTTTACAAGAATTCATGTCCTTGACCTCTGTCCAAGGAAAGCTTCGTGCCTCTGCTCCATGTTCCGTCTTCTATGTTAACTCCCTTCGTGCGGTGTGGTACTTCACCAAGTTCCACATAAATTGCTCTGCTCCTCGGTTTGCATTGAGTTGATAGTGGCCCTCACGCCTACCATTCCACAGATCAGCCCTTGTTAAGTCCGATCTCCACATCAACTTTAAGTGTACCTTCGTTTAATGTTGCCTTGGGTTGCTCCCCTACTTAATCTTATAATGTGTCCACCAACGCATTAATTCATGCGAGACCATGCGATGACTCCTCACTGCTTGCTCGGTTCGTTAAGCTTTGTGGAGTTGTTGTCTTGATGTATCCCTCCTCAACATGTGCAATCTATTGCATATGATTTTCCCTTTGAAGAATCGGGACTTATCCCTCTTGGATATTTGTCCCGTTCGAGCAACTTTTCTTTTCACATCATTCCCTCTAGAATTTTCGAAGACCACCATTGCCTTGGACTACTTCGCTTTGTTGAATGAATTGCGCACTGTTCTGCTCCCGCGAACACACTTGCTAGATTATGACTCTTTGCCAATACAACCCCCTTGACCCTTCAAGACCTAGCAACATGTTGAACTTGCTACATACTTCAGCCTCCTACGGACGTATCCTTCTCATACTGAAGAGAATGTTTCAATGCTCCATGGCGCCGAGTTTCAGTCGCCTTGGGATGGTCACGGATAGTCCATTGTCCGCATACAAGCTCTCGCATGAGTACCGAATTCTTCGAGTTAATAATTCCCCTCACCTCTGTGAGCTTTGCACAACTCTTTCGATAGCTAAGCAACCCATCCCACATTGCACGGTCTCCTCTTTTGCCAAGCGACCCAATTGCCTTGAGCACTATCAAATTTGGTAACCAACGTCGAGTCGTAACTCGAACTCAACCATCCCAACCTTTATGCACCACGCGTTCTTCTCAGCTCGCTTGTCCTCGTAGTGCCTCTCGCGTGAAGGGTTGGTTATTCATCTGAATGCCAATCTCGGATGCCCGTTAGGTCCCCCACATTTACATGCTAAGTGTTTCTAAGTGTGCTTGTCCTGCTCTGATACCATCTGTCACAAACTTAATTGATTTTGCCTAAGTCGTGCGACACTCTTACGTATTTGTCCGTAAAGGGTCAACCTACCTCTTACGGTCCCTTAAGAACTTGCAAAAGAAAAGACAGGTTAAAGGAAGCGTCTAACTCGAGATCTAATAAACAACCATTTCAGCAAACACCGAATAGGCAATACAAATTACAAACATAGACTTCTTAAGCTTTGAACGATCGCACGACAAAGGGTCCAAGGTAATCCATCGCAGCCAAAAGTGCCCACATGACACTATTGCGTAATGAGGCAACGAACTAACCCTAGACACTATCCCAAAGAACCATCCAGTCATGTGTCACCCAAATAGCTTCTGGGTGTTGTGCTGATTGACACTCTACAGTACTCTGCGGGGTTAGAAAATCCCCAAAATGATTGCGGTCTGTTTCTGAGCAGTTTTGTCTCTATATGACGACCGCACACAACTTACATTTACAAGCCTGAAACAATTATAAAAACCAACTAAAATAAGGTTGTTAAGCCTATTGTAAGCTTTCTACGTGCTGTGCAAAGCATGAACAAAACCAAAAGGAATAGACATACACAAGCATCACGTCGAACACCCAATTTACACCTTTATCCCTGACACCATATACGACTAGATAAAAGCTCACTGGATGGTGTCACCAAAAGTCCTTTTTTATTTATAATAACTTAAATAAGGTATACCATCAAAGAAAAGATGTTCAATCAGATCCAAGCTGCAACAATTCAAAGACCATCAGTTCTTCATAGTCAGTAAAGTAATCAAATATCCGCATACAAAGTAACAAAAGTAGTACAGAAACCATTACACATTTTCGCTGTAAACTGAAAATCAATTCCAACATATCAAGATTCTAGGGTTCTCAAGAACGCTGACCTGAAGGACACCACAGGGCCAACTTCCTCACATAACTGTTTAAGCTGATCCTCCGTCGCATCGTACGGTATGTTCCCGACTGCCATAAATCACGAAACTTAACATAAGAAAAGCAGCAACACTCGAATAACCCAACTTGCAAGCGAATCGAAGACGAAAAGCAGCTAAAATGGCGATTTTCTTTTCGGAAGAAGCATCAAGGGCACAGAGCAATCGAAAAGAAGCAGCAACAGCAGCCCAGAGAACAAAGTTTGGGGAAGGATGAAGACCACAAACAGGCAAAAGAATCGATACACAATCAGACGGCAATCGACCGACCAAAGACGCAGCGGTGCTGAGAGCCAGAGGAGGCGGCCATGTCATAGCGAGGAGCCAACGCTTTCTGAATGCGCCGCCGGCGCCTCTCCTCTTCGACCGCCGCCGGAGAAGCGACCGCGATCCATGTACCAATCCAATCGAGGAGAAATGTTGAAAGTCCGGCGCTCGCGAGAGGCGGCACGGGAGATCTCAAGGAGGGTTTGTTCGTTCGGCTATTTGGGGACTTAAAAAGGCGGGCGCGAGGTGAGATGGGGAGGCGGCGGCGCGTTAAGGCAGGAGGGAAGGAAAGAAAGGAATCTATCCGAACCGTGGTCGGCGTCGGGCTTGTGGTTTAGGCGACGACGACTGACGCATTGAGCGAGGCTTCAATAACGGCAGCGTCGAATTTTACTTCTAAATACCGAAAAAAGGGAAAACATTTTCCCAATTAATGAAAATAATAGACGAAAGAAAACTACTATGATCAATTTTGATCTTAGATTCATGAAATTGATCTGACACGATGAAAAATACTATAAGCGACCGAAATCACAATACGACGAGGAAGATTTTTTCTTGGGAGTCAATAAGGATTTATATTACACATTCGATATGGAGAAATCCGTTTTATACCATATGTTATATATGGGCCTGCCACCTTAAACGTCATGCTTAGAGAAGTTCCTTCTATAGCATTTATATGTCCTCTTTACATATCATACTTACCTAGCACTGTCCAATTGACATTTCCCGTACCCGAATTTACTGGAACAATTGACGTATTGCCTATCCGAATTGGCTATAAGATGGACAGGAGGTCAGTCTTCGATATTAAAATTATTAATGTCTAGTAGCAAAAAAAAATCTAAAATTGATATCAAATACGACTACAACCCAATTCTTGGTCTATTTTAACTCTAGAGATCAAAAACAACAACAGTTTTCTTTTTTGTTCAAGGTGATGATATATACGATTGTGAAAGAACAATTCACGTTATTTTTCATCCTGTACACTCTGATCAAAGGAAACAAAAGTTGCAAGGCTCCGGGGAACAATACGATGAAGAGATCAATCAAGATCCCGGATATTAACAAGGCTGACTTACCATGTGCACGCAGAAAAGAATTTTGCAATCAACAAAAAAAAAGAATTATGAGGTAGAATGAATGGCCAAAATTTTGAAGGTGAAAACCAAAACTCACTGAACTTTGACGGCTTTCTCTTTGCATAACATATGCCACTCCTGTAGAACTGCCGACTGAAGAGCACGATGTTCCACTTCCTCTGCTGTCAGAGTCGATAAGGTGGAAGGTTCTTTGGGGTTACCGTTCTCATCCACATTCTCTTTGTTTTTCTCTTCTTCCTCCTTTTTCTCTTCAGCCTTTGGACGCTGTGGTGGGGGTTTGGCTGCCTTGAACAGGGCTATCTTTTCCATAGAAATCCTTAGCCTCTCTTTAGCCGCAATCTTAACCTCTTCTTCGGGCATGTACTCCACGCCCCCATCTGTGATATCATCTAACCAGCCTTGTAGATCTGATCCTATTTCCTTTGTGATTGATGCATCAGAAGCACGGACGACAAACTTACACATCATTGTTGTTGTCTCATCTCCTAGATCAACATTTCTGCTCACCTCACTGGCACCGAAGATCATCATACCCACAAAACCACCAAACCAAGTTTTTGCAGCATAGCACAACTGTCGAGAAGAATCAGAATTTGAGACGTCAGTGATGCACAAGTAACTACTGTTATAATCAGCACAACAATCCAAACATCCACTAACTATGAAAATGCTACAAAACGGTTTTTGGTAAAACAGGATATGTGATCGCAGATCTTAATGTAGTATTTATTATATTACAATTAATTTATAAAACCACTGTAAGATCAGTTATGCCACATGGGTCAAAATGTCAGATATTTAGAGAACACAATTATTGTTGTTTAGATGAAATATTAAGATAGGTGCATACGGTTGATAGAAATAATAAAAAAGAAATGTTTATACTAATTAGTTATAACTCTGACGGAAGATAAAATGTGGAAAATTGTTTAAATGATTCAACATATCCAAAGGAGACTATTAGTGCTCCACAAGGTATGTTAACCAGGATTTTGATGACAGCTGGAGGAAGACCTCAGAAAAAATTTTAGAAACAATGATAAAAAGAGATAAGTGCTCTTGGTTTGGGTAGCAAGTGATACCGCCCTAAAGAGCACCCCATGGCCAGAAAAGATTAATATAGCCACATCCATGGGCCATTATAACTTCTTGTTTTTGTTTTATATTCGAAATTAGAAAGTATAAATCCACATAGAAGAAACAGAATGCAGTTCAGTAGGGATAGCAGTTTGAATTTCGACACTTCTATGCATATATAACTATCCACTTACCTGAAAACCTGCTACAGTGCGGATAAAGTGTGAGCAGACTTGATGGAATGGCTTAGATGAGAGTGATTTCAATCCACTGAGAAATGGAGAAGCCTCATACTGCTGTGCAGCAGTGGCTTTGAAACCACTGCCTTCGTAAGTATATGCACCTGTGTACTCCAATATAGCAGGTAAACTTGGCCACAAGCGAAAATATTCAACAGGAGAACATTTATGTGGTAAGAGAAGCTCGGTTAGTGGGATCTTGTAAGGCTGGCACCTTAAAATCATGGGCTCTCCAAGCTCTGGTTTTAAGACACGCCTTTGTCGCATGACCTGAGAATCCTCTTCTGCATAGTCTCCTTCATAATCTCCAGAAACACCACTTCCATAGAAAGGGTAATACAAAACTTGAACCCAAAAAGCACATCTCTCAAAGTGTGAAACACCAACAGTGACACTGCTGAGGACCGGATCCTAGGATAAACAAATTTAAGTCATGCTACAAAGCTAGTACAGATTCCATCATGAATATTGTAGATAAACGATGTCTTATATATGCAGCAAAAAATATTCCACGCGATTCACATTCTAACAGAAAAAACAGTCAAATTTAAACAACTGCCATATAGCATATACCAGTCAATCAAAATAAGCATTGGGACTCCAGACAAGACAACAAGTTGCTTCAAAATGCCCAAACCTACATGTAGACATTTTTGTGATATGATGCTGGAATTCAACAGCCAAATAATTATTTTGACATATCAAGTAGGTCATTCATCCATTTTGATATCATTGCAGTTCTTTAATGTAATAGCTCTTCACAATTTGATGATGGGAATAAATGAGAAAATTGGAACTTATCATGCAATAATATCTAAAACATAAAAAAATAATTTTATAGCTCAAGAGTTCAAAGGAAATACTGCAGAGTCCAGACTAATGTCTTCCACAAAATGACTTTCCACTTAACGTACTATGATAATTTGGAAAACTTAAAAGTGCACTCCTGCTCTATAGGCTTACAAGTGCTGATTTGTTCAGGCTGGAAGGAATTTGGAAGATACAATCAACCACCTATAACTGACAAGTCTTCTTCTGTTTAAAGATGAACAAAAGAATTGTTTCAGATTTATCATGCAGCATCCGCTAATGAACATAGATTCATGAATATAGAGAGGCACTTTTTTGTATATATAGCATATGATTGCAGTATGTATGCATGTGCAAGTGCGAACAAATGACAATAAAGTTATTTTCTTAAATGTGTCTGCATGTTATAAACACACATCAATGAGTGATAGCAAGGCAAAAGCAAATTGGAAAGCCAAAAGGCCTACAATCATTAAGTAGCAATTACAGAAGCAAAATCCAAGAAAATTAGCAGAGAATCCTGAAAGAAACCTGTGAGACAAGATTTCTTAGCTGTCGAACTGCTTGAAGTGACCCATCCATAAAGTACAGTGCTCCAGAGAGGCCAACCCGGATATCCACCCTATTAAGCTCTAGTTCAGTCAAGTTTAAGATCTGAAATTATTGATTTGATCAGAATGGTTAATATGTCTTGATGGCATAGTTTAAATAATACTCAACTACAAATGCAGTTAAATAAATCAGTACATATAATGAGTTGAAATCATGACAAACTAAAACAAAAAAGGTATTTTAGCTTGAAAGTGAGAAAGAAATACCAAATTTTTGCATATAAACTAGTGCAAACCAGTGGTACATGGAATCATATTTCCAAACTCACAAGCCTTGACAAATAACTATTTGCTTGCCCTTCACTCGGACACTTGTCTAACTGTAAGTATATTGTTTCATTATCAGTTAATATAGTAATAATAAGAAGTGATTTTTGTGATTCTAATTTGATGATACTAGGCTTTCTAAATTATATAAAGTCAACATCCAATACTTCACTTAACAAGCCTAAGAGATAAATGTCACTTTTTCCTTTTAAGTTATACTTCAACTTTCCTGTAACTCTATTTTTTTATCCATGACAAACAAAAAAATTAAATACACATTAGTAAGATATGTCAGACCAGCTTAGATGACTTGTCATGTTATTCTTAATTTTTCTACCTACAACGTATGAGGAACAAAATTATCATACAAGAGATTGTCAAGAAACCTAATAAAGGCATTGGTTGGAGGAAATGCACCCAACCAACAGGATATGCTAGAATTCTTGTCAGTTTCCTTTTCAGAAAAGATAACCTCCAGCTCTACGTTAAAAAAACTAGCTAGCTATATCTCAGGCTCAAACAATCTTGATCTTTGACTTGAGTGCTACACACCAAAATAAACAACCCAAAGTGAGTCATGCCACACTTAAGCTGCAGATGAAAAAAAATCTGCTGAACCAGGTCATTTTTGTAAGTGATTCAAATTTAAACGACAATGAACAAGACTATCCTCAATAAGTGCAATCATCTGCATTTCCTTTTTTATCTTTCTCTTTAGACGCAAACATCCATTCCAACATTTTCATAGCTGCAACACAAAATTTCTATATGCATTGATTCCAGATTATCAAATATTCTCACCATGAACATGCTTTTTGTTATTGCTTTCTCATAAGTTTGCCTCTTGCACATGAGAGTTATACAACAACTGAATAAGCTCCATACAATCATCATGCTATACAACTTGATTTCCTATCTGATTTCCCCTTCTTCTTGTTTTAGTACCAAAATCTCCTACATTCTGCTAATTCTTGGAAATACTTCTAAAATGTTTATGTTCCTTCACTTCTTAATTTGAAATATTAAGACAATACAAAAATTATAGATGCTAATATATGCAAAAGTTGGTTGCAAGCAGAAATAACCATCTGAAATCAAGAAACATACACAAATATCAACAAAGTATATAAGTGTGATACCTTCAAGTGAAGGGTGATCCTCCCATCCATCGAATCTGCCAGATGATATGCTTCAACATAGCAAGGATCACTACTACCTGTTAGAGAATGTGCTTTTGGAGGTACTTTATGCTTACTAGAGTCGACACCTTTGGTTAACAAAAGTCTCAATTCACTGGGGTCAGGCCTCCAGAGCTCTTGAATGGCCTTATGAACCAATCCTTCCAATTTTCTGTCTTGGGCTGCAGATGTCTCAAAGAACTGAACTGTGAGTTTATGGTGGCTAAAAGGATAATCTCCCATAGTGTCACTAATTCCTACCCATCTGAAAATTATTACATGTCAGTCATTCTTCAAAGCATCAAATAGTTTACAGCATTCGTTGCTACAAAGATCAAAAAAGAAGTCCAAGCTTCAAACAACACAGAACTACAGTTGAGTCAGATGATCGAACTATGAAAGACATTAGCACAGGAGCAAACCTGTATATTGTTTTTATCAATCTTTCATAACAAAATACATACATATAGAAATGCAATTACTAATTACTTCATGCTCTTCCCATGTTTTAGCAACACCACAATTTTTTTATTCATGGATCTGAATAGCCTCTTGGATCCATGCTTTAGAGTAATGATTTACTATTGTACCCCAAGAGTTGAGTTCCACAAGATGGAAGTATAAGAAAAAAATCCACAATGGCACTGTGGTGTCACGAACGGTCGTCGCACACCCACAACAACTCCGTTCAACGAACCGTTCGTCGCTCTAATCTACATGTACAGCTGCTTGGCAGCATGTTTTGGCTTTGTTTTAAGTCCTTTTGCTTGTAAAAATGTAAGTTCGAACAAGTTGCAACGCTACAATGCGACCACTCACCGAACCGAGCAAAACAACCCCAAAACAGCTCCGTTTTCACGTGCCACAGGCTGATTTCTGCAGCCCGCTGCTGCACGCAAAACGTCAGCCATCTCAGCACCCTGGAACCACCCGAGTGGCACAAGGCTGGATGGAGCTTCGGTATAGTGTTGGGCGTTGAACACTCTTTCGTAAGTTCGCACGTTACCTTAACGGGAACTTGTTGTCGTGCCCGGCACTTGGTGAGCAGTTGTTTGTGGACTTGCAGCTGTTCATTCAACCTTCTAAAGTCCTTGTTTTCCCCCTCTCCCTCTTTTCTCTGGTGCACGCAAGGTGCTCGCTGAATTGCTTGTAAAGCTTCCCCTTTTCGCGAGACGTCGGGACTTGTTCGTCGCTCGTTCTTCGAACTAATCAACTTTCTCTTTTTACAGGTCCTTCGGGACCTGCGAGACGTTGCAAGTGGGCTGATCTTTGCGGACGCAAATCGCAAGGGCGAAGCGTGACTTAGGCAACGCAAGCTAAGTTCGCGTCTTTGCCGTAAGGGTGCCTCACGACTTAGGCAACGCAAGCTAAGTTCGCGTCTTTGCCGCAATGGTCCTTACACCTTAGGCAATTCCAGCTAAGGCCGTGACAGTGGAGTAGTACTTAATGCAGTATCACTTAATTTGGTATGCCCCAGTGTAAATATGCCGTGCACCTAAGTGGCCATATAAGAATAAAGGTTCATGATAAGCTTGAAAAAATTTAAAGGATTTTAAAAATATATATACTGGAGATATTTAAATCTACTTTTGAAGTGCATATCCATTGTTTCAAAAAAGGGTCAGGAATGTTTTCGATAAATATCTACCCTTTGGCAATTCATTTTTAGTGTCACAGGATTCATCAGAATTGTTGGAACTGCAACAGCCTTCCTCACCCACCAACCATCAAAATATGTGACTGTTCATTCTCGTATACTGCCCATGTAACCTCCAATCTCCAATCCTATCTCTTCTCTTGTACCCTGTCTCATTCGCTTCATATGCCTTAAGAGTGAATGATGAACATGGAAAAAATATCAGCTAAAAGTACTGAACATGCAATAAACGTGTCCAGCAAGAAACAGATTTCTTTCTCCACCTCTACTTATAATTCCACAATCCTCTTGTCCACTTACTCTCCTTTTTCTTATTTCCTCCTCTATGTAGTCCTCTCTGCTGAAGTTGGTCACTTACTGCTACATTCCATCTAAAATCAGCCAATCCAAACATATTTAGGCAGAATCAACTGCAGAATTAGATTGAGGGATAATCATCAATTAGATAAAAGTTAGGACCAAAGCTGGACTACATCAGATTATGATTGGCCAATTCCCAAACCCTTGGTAATAAGCATATTAGTGCTCCAAAATTCTTTCTGTAGCCAAGTTCTACAATAATTAGGCTAGGAGAACAAAATCATACTTGTCCTGATAAAAATATCATCTGCAAGTTTGTTTTTATTGACTACTGTAGTGCATTCTACACAACTAAAAGAAACAATTTTTGCATTATATGAAACATCAATTTTCTAAAAATCATGTCAGAAGCTAGAAAAAACAAGATTATCAGTATATGGTTTATTCCATGAGGATGTTTAATGACTTAATCTATTAGTTATATGAACATGTTGTGGCTTTCCGAAGAAAATAAGCTGCCTCATTGATAGGAGATCTAAGTAACAGTTAACAGTCTTTAATAACATTAATAGATTCCGATCTGTCAAATATCTACCTAAGATGTAAAGTTACAAGCATTAGACAGTAGACACTCTTCCGAGCTAGCAGCACATGTTTATCAACTTATCTTTATTTCTCTCAGTTTGAGAACCCATCAACTTAACCAAAGAAAAGTGTATATTTAGTTAAAAAATACCCTTGCCTTGGTAAATACAGTTACAACAACATGACCAGTGTTTATTGCCCTATCAAGAGAACAATTCTTGGAGTCAACAACAACACAAACATATAAGACAAATGCATTACCAAAATGGACTTAACTGAAGCATTTCTCAATCATTTTTAAGCTTTTTGGTAAATGCTATAATCAACAACTGAAACACATTTCTTAGTTTCAGTATCTAATTGATTAAAATGCATATCTAATCAGATAATTCCACACAATAATAAACTCAATCAACTGATGAAAAACACTTGCTGAACTTGTAACGTGCACAAAGGACTGACCTGCTTTCTGGATGACTTGTAACAAATTTTAACATCTGCAATATAAAGCGACTTTGATGCTTATTTACAGAGTCAGCCATGGAACCACCTTTAAAATCTTCAAGTTCTTTACTCAACAGTTGTCCTGCTCTGGGATTCCGTGAACCTAGACGTTGTGCACAAATAAGGACTGCTTGCACATCTTGAAGCTTGTTTGAAGTAGTTGCAGAGGAATCAGTATTAAACAACACATTGTGTATATTGGATATAAATATGTTCAATGGATCTTCCGGATCATCAGCTAGTAGTGGATCAAGACCCTCCATATCAAAGTGTTCAGCAATGGCCCAAATCAAGCGTGCAGATATTCTCGGTGTATGCACCTTGCAGAGCAAAATAGATCTTACTTTAACATGATAAGTAGGCAGGCAAGGACAATATGTGTGTTTGTATAAACAAAATAGATAAAGCATGTAAGAAGAAGAATGAGAGTCAATAGAACGACATGCAATTGCTATTTTACAATTGACGGCTAAGGCACATATGATATTGTTAAAGAGGACAGTCGGCTGTTTTAACGAGAAAGGAGCCTTGGCAACTTCAAATATTTCTGAAAGGGTTAAGCCACTGTCAAATTTTCATCCTGAATAAAGCAAATGAACTGATATGTACAAAAGTCTCTTTTGATAGTTATTTTTTATATGATTATCATAGTCTCATACTATTACAGCCTCACAGGAATATTAATTTACCAATTCAAAACAGATGCATAAAAAGAGCATGATAAACAATTACATCTAGCTGATAATCTCCTAAGCACCCGACGGTAAAAGCATTCAGCCAAATTTAAGAAAAAAAATGAATACGAGAGAAAAAAAGAGGCATTTATGCAAAAATAAATTGGTTGTTTCATTGCAATCTTGAAAAGTACTGAACTTAATGCAGAAAATGGCAATTTACTAGTGTATTTTATCTCTATTATTTCATGCTTGCTCACTACAAATTTGCAAGTTCCTGCAAATGTGCAATGCCTTAGCATTTCTTCACAATCATTTTCCACAAGAAAAAGATGTATCAGATTTGATTGTGACAAAAATAATGATACTAACCTCACGAAGATCTTTGATAAGTTGTAATTGCAAGTTGCGCAACCTAGTCTCATACAAAATCTGCTCCTGAGAAGCACCATCTTTGATCCTTTTCACGCCTCCTCTTGTATCATAAATGTGACAGAGCCTGACGAGCAACTTCAGGTAACAATCAATGGCATAAGTTCGTCCATCACAGTCCCACAAAACACATGGCCGACACACTTCCACAACCTCTAAAGCTGATTCTGTCCAATTCAGTGCACCATAACCAGTTCCATAGGCTAAAGCACCAATGACTCTGCCCTCCGTTCCAGAATTTTTCTGCTCAGGCAACGGAAGAGATAACTGAAAGCAGCTTTCCACTAGTGAAGCAACTAATTCCTCTCTGAACAAACTTTTACTTATTACGCTGTTCAAATCATCTTTTATTCTTACATCCTCAAAAAGTGAGGTAATGTCTGTTCCAGGGAGAGGCTTCTGTCCTCTTCGCACACTTTCTTTTGCAAAAAGATCAACACAAAGGGCTGTACGGCAAATACATGCCAGAGCATACATACGATCTGATTCTGCCCTCAGGTTTCTCACCATCAGAAGCAGCCTCTTAAACAAAGAAACCTGAAATAAGGAGGAATGAGAAAAAAAAATATTAACCCTACAAAACTCCATCAAAGTAAAGAATACCTACACTTACCCCTCTGAATTATCAGAAAAAATAAACTTTGTAATTAAAGTACAGTATCAGGCAAATCTTGCAGCACTCTTACCATTTCTTATATTGTGTGTTCTGAAAAATCATATCTTTGAATAGGATCAGCACCTAGTGCTTTAGTCTTCTATTGTTTATTAAAGAACATTACTAGAAAGTAAGTTAACATCACTAATCTAGTCTAAAAATGAAAAAGCCAAACAAACAACAAGGTGTTTGGGTTTGTGTACATACATCATGTACATACATATATATACATGTGTATATATACATGTACATACATATACATACATACATATATACAAGGTTCGTCATACCGTTCCGTACCAACATTTCGACCCGGGCTCGGTATGGTACGGTATCGATGTACCGGGCGGTACATCAGGGCATACCGAGCGGTACACCCTGGTGTACCGAACAATTTTATACTTTTTTTTCATACTATAGCAGTGCTACAGTATAGTACTGTAGTACTGTAGCAATACTATAGTATAGTACTGTAACACTGTAGCGGTACCGGGTGATCCGCATACCGATAACCTATCAGATCGATACGTACCATCCGGTACGGACGACACACTTCAATATGACAGACCTTAAATATATATTTATATATTTATATATATACATGTATATATATATGTACATGTATATATATATATAGGTTGTGTTTGGATTTGTGTTCTTGATATTTACTAAGTTAGAGCTTGCATATGCAATAAAGATCTGGTGGCGGCATTTGGTTAGTTAGAATTGGTAAAGTCCTGCCTGCCTTTTTTGCATATGTAGTTGCTCAATTAAGTTCTTTAGCATGTAAAAGATCAGCTCGTCATCTTTGGCTATTGAGACCACCAACAGATAAGTAAATAAAAGACCACTACGTAGACAAAATGGACTCGCGGTGCACCTGCATGCTGAGATCGAGAAGGTGGAGATTCGTGACGACAGCCCTCACAATGCTTTCTCTAGCAGAAGAGAACTCCTGCCTATCCCAGAGCGTGAGAATGGCAATGATTGACGCTGAAGCCCACTCTGGCTTCCCTCCCGGAACATCAGCCAGCGAGAGCATATTGATCCCGACCTCAAATATCAGAGGCGGATCCAACGAGCTCAAGAATGGAAGGAGATGGGAGACCACATCCGAGACCCCCACGTGTTTCTCAGCGCTCGTCGAGGAGTCCGTTGCGGCAGAAGCGCTCCTGTCGTTGCTGCTCCCTCCCAGCCTGGAGATCTTCCGGAATACCTCAACCGAGCCAGATGCCACGGCCTTGGTAGCAAAGACGAGTGGGAACACAGTGACACGGAAGCTCTCAATGGGGAGGACCAGGGAGCGGGCTATGAGGGCGTTGCGCTTCTTCCAGACGAGGTCGATGGCAGCGACGACCCAGTTGGAGCGGATGGCGAAGGAGTTCTCGCCGTCGATGAGCTTGTCCCCCGCAAGGCGGCTCATGCGCTTGGTTTCGAACTCCTGGAAGAGACGGCCGACGGCCTCAAAGGCGGCACGGGAAACGGCGTCGGAGCGGTCGAGGGTGCCTTGGTTGATACGGGCCCACCAGGCGGAAGCGCGGTCGAGAAGGCCCGGGGCGGTGTGGCAGAGGAGAACGAGGTCGTCGCGGGCAAGGACGCATCCGAGGGTCTCGGTGGCGGCGAGGCGAAGGGTGTCGCTAGGGGAGTCGAAGAAGGCAGCGATTTCGCGGTGAGCGTCGGCGACGAGCCGGGGGAGGCGGTGGGAGGGGAGGGCGGAGAGGATGGAGACGGCGGCAGCGGCGACGTCGGGGTCTGGGAAGTCGAGGTCGGAGCGGACGGCGGAGCAGACGGTGTCCCACAGGTCGGGGGTGAGGCGAGTGGAGCGAATGAGGTCGAAGGCGAGCTTCTTGGAGACAGCGGAGGCCGGGGATGCGAGAATCTCCTCACAGGTAGAGCGGGCGACGGCCGACACGTCCCGCCCCGCCGCCGACTGCTGCAGCGCCTGCAGTAGCGCCCCCGACTGCCGCAGCGCGTCGTTCGACCGCAGGTCCGCCTGGATCTGCGCGATCAAGATGTCCATCCGTCGCTCGCAATTCCTGTCTTTCCCCTCAAGAACAAGGAGATTGAGGCGGGACGTGGTGATGGGATTGGGTCGGATCGGGATCTCTATCCTCGGGTAGAAAGGGTAGAGAGAGGGGAACGGGACCTCTCATGGCAGTTGGGATCAACAGGGAGGTGGCGGAAGAGACTTGTATTCCGGCTGATGAGCTGCAACAATCAAAGCCCAAGGCGTAGTAATGAAGAAACGGCATTTGGGCCTTCGATGACACCTATCTCTCTTCTTTCTATTTTTAAGACGGGCTTTTAACATAGTTTCTAATTAGTGTATATATATATATATATATATATATATAATTTAATTGATCTAATAAATTTAATTCAATAACTACAAATCATGATTACTATTAAGTTTTTCAGAAAAACAAATTTAAATATATAAATACTCTTTAATACTTTTATTGAAAATTTAATTTTAAAGATATAAATACAGGAATTACAAATTGTAGAAATATAGATAATATATCAATCACTAAAGGGAATTAGATATTATTTAGAAAATTTATTTGTGGGATTGACTGAAGATGACTAAATATTTATGCACATTTTTAGTATTAAAAAAATAAATACATGAAACATAAATTAGAGGGCAATATATCATTAATTTTGCTTGATGTCTTCATTTTCCTTAAAAGTAGTATAGTATGCAATTTAACCCTAAATTCTTATTGTTTTCATATCGTAAACGATAAATTTTACCAACTAAAAAACTAGCTGATATGTTCACATAAAATTAAAAACATGGGCCTAATTAATGCCATCTTCAATTTGGGACTTTTGTTGAATGAAAAACACCAATCCAAGAACTTATTGAAAATATCTAATTTTTCATGTTTTTTACTTCAATTATTTGTGATATATATAATATATAATTATTTATTGAAAATGTCCAGTGAAAATGATGTACAAATCAAAGAAAGAATTCCAAAGGAGAGACACCACTGACTCATAAATATGATCATTCTGTACATTAATTAATCCCTTTTGATGATTCACATGAATGCCAAACATATCAAGTTGAACAAACAACTGCCTATCATCTAAGCTTTGGCAAAAAGATAGTAACACATATTATGAACAACTATATAGATCTTTCTAGTATCATTAATATTATTTATTTTATATTTTTAATTATCATATATATAGGTTTTTTTAGCATGATCAACTACATGGATATATTAAGTTTTTCTCTCTGTCTCCTCCTACCATTTAATATTAATTAGTTTATATTTTTAATTATAATATATATTATATATAGATTTTTTTTAATATGGATGGATAGCTTAAGATTTTCTTTATATCTTCTAGTTATCACTAATATTAATTAATTAATATTTTTAATTGTAATTAATATATGTATGATATACATAGGTGTTTTTAGCACATGATCATGCTCTCCCAAGCTATTCTCTCCAATTTTACATGTATTAGAGCAATTAAATAAAAATAATTTTCTTTCAATATTATCCACCTCAATATTTTCATATTAATGACACAAATTATAAGTACATTATGCATGAACAACAAAAAGAGTCATAAATTGTCTATTGAGGAAAACTCAATATAAATAAGCTGCAGTGAATCACTGCAGTTGTGCTCATCCCATGACTCTGATGTATCTCTTCCACCCAAAGAGAAGAAGGAATCCTTAATGATTTCATGAGCCGGCCATGAAGAAAGTTTCTTTACTATGTCACCAAAGTCAACATGACAATGACTTGCATCGAAGGAACTGTTGCAGAAGACTTGGTAGTGAAGCATTCATTGCTAATGAGGTCATTTGGACATGTTAGATGGGAGTCTCAAACACATGCAACTCGATACGACCCTTAAATCCTCTCTACGATCACCCAAAGAAGCTTTCTTGAACACACACCGACCAAAGGAATCATTAAGAGAGACACCAAGCGTTTATTTGAGCCCTAGAAATCCAACGAAGCCCAACTAGCAATTCACGATCACACAATCCGACATCGAGGATCAAGATGGGAACTTGCAGATTAGATAGCAGCTCCGAAGGCATAAATGATTGATTTCACATAGAGAACACCCGAATCTCTAATGACCGAAGCAGAATCGAGCAAAAATACCGAGAGATTGAGAGGAAAAAAAAAAGTACTCTTTCGGTGGCCGAGCGGGAGATGAAACCTACCGGAGAAAGACGGCGAAAGGCATTTCTATCTGGCAGTCGGGGGCGAGGAAGAGACGCGGCGACATGGGCGGCGGCGTACACCCTCGCCGGTTCTCGGCAGCTATTTGGTACATGTGAGAAGCGTCGGGCCGATCGCATCTGCCTGCATATTTCGAGCCTACCACGTAAAAGAATATTTTGTTTTATGAATTTTTTGTTAAATAAAAGTAATTAAAAATCTGTTGATTTTTTTTTTTGAGTAATTAGAAATTTTCGAATAACCGTTTTATTATTTTCCATATGTTATGAGAAAATAGGAATGTGGGTTTGTAATAATATTATTTAAAATTCAAAAAATTACCCTCTTTTTATTTTTAATTATATTAAATATATTATAAATAAATAAATATTCTCGAGTCACATTTAAGATATCAATTATCTTGGCTAATATAGAGTTTAACGATCGATGATGATGATCGATAACAACATCCTACGATCGAAATCTACTTCCATCATTTATCTTTTATTAAATAAAATAAAATATATATTTCTATATTTGATTTTAATTATTTTTTATATTTTTAACTATTTGATTGGATAATAAAAACTTTTAAAATTTTAATTTTTTCTCGATATATACTTTTACATCTTTAATAATAAGTAAATCGATTCAAACCTAAGATATGAACAAAATCCGAGTGTATGATGTAATCCGATACGTCGAAAAAAGGATTTTTTATTTGCTAATTAAAACTATCGAAAACTTAAATCGTTAAGAAAGGATCTAATATATACTTTTAACACTATATATATAAACCCCTAGAAAACTATAAACATTATATGCAGGAGGAGGAGGAGAAGAGTGTTTTTTTTGTGTGTAGAAGAAGCTCTACCGAAATATTGTAGTATCAGATTCTACTTGAGGTGTCTGTGGTCTTCCTTCCGATGTTATCTCCGATCATCTAATCTAACAGCAGCTTCGCAGTGGCATTTACTTGGAAGAAAAAGGATATTATGTTGTCACAGGTCAACTTCAGCGATGCAATCCCGGTTCGCTTTCCTGTGATGTTATGTGCCACGCCACATGATGCTTATCACCGCACTGGTGCAGTCCAGGGAGGCAGGTCTCCTCCACAAACCACACCGAAGGCCGTGCAGGTGTGTGGCATTCTCAGCATGGCGTCGACATCACCTTCTTGCCTTTCCTCTCAGCACTGTTGGTGGCTTAAGATGTCCACGGATCTGTTCGGCGGAGCAATCTCCTCCCTGTAGCCATCGCCTGGTGGATTCTGCACTTTGTGCTGTCAAGAAACAGCAGCCGTGCCCATCATCTGCATGGCGAAATGATGCAGCCAAATGAGCAGTTCCTCCGCCGTATGCCTCACCATCTTCCCCAATCATTCTTCTTCTTCTTCTTCCAGCCTCTTATTGATCATACATGGTTTCTGTCCATCGAATCCCATACCACCCCCACCCCCATATACTTCCCTTACACAAAACAGAAGCGAAAGAACTGTATCAGTCAACAATTTGAACTTCAATTACTAATAATGGATCCAAATTCTTATGATGTATTTTGTATTGTAATATGATGAACCTTATTTTACTATAAATCTTAAATCACAATGTTTAATTTATTATTTCAACATAATGAATCCAATTTCCTATATGAGCTTTTTATTTCACTAACCATAAAGTTTAATTTAATATTTCAACAAAATAATCCAATCTCATGCAAGATAATTTAATAATATTACAAGAAAATGAACCTTAATTTTTACTAAAACTATTATATTGATTTCTTATGTAATTATAAAGTTTAATTTAATATTTCAACAAAATGAATCATATCTCATTAAGCTCTCTCTTTTCCTTTTTTTTTTTGTCTTTTGCCTCAATAAATCTATTCTTATGTGAAAATACTAAATGTAAAATCTTTGAGAAGAAGATTAAAGACACTAATAACAAGAAAAGCACACACAGTGAAACTTTGAACTATTATTAACTGTTGTTTCACTACACCTCCAATAATAATTAAAAGGACATGCACTGTCAAAGGAGGCCATCATGCAATGATTTCCAATAATTTCCATGTTGCCTTGATGGATGCTTGCACCATTAAATGCTATTCTAGCTCAATCAATCCTAGTCTTTTTCTCATTCTTGCCAACTTGATGGCTTGGTATGTGGAAAAAGAGTTCCTGATGTTTGTTCTCTGGATCTTGAAAAGGAGACATGCCAAGCTTGCATCCATGAGTCTAATATTTGAATAAGTAGGGGAAGAATCATGATTGGAATATTACAACTTGCAAGATTAATGGCTGAAGGTGTCAAATCAGCTTGACCTAAAGTCATCCTAGCCTTTTCCTTCCCACTGGTTCAGATTGAGATCTGGTCCTGCTACCCAATCTTTTAAGAAAGGAATCAAATATGGTGGTGTAGGTCCTCTACAACTTTGGCCGTAGAAAGTGACTACCAAAGGCCATCTAAAATGATGAATTGTCTACTTGGCTGTAATTTTATCTTTGATTCAAATGTTAAGTTGTGGAATAGATTTATAATTTTATCTAGGATTTGGTTTAAACAGAGATGATAAAAAAAAAAAAAGACTCGGATCGAATCAATTAGAGTTTTATCGATAGAAAATACGATACGATACCTTCATCCATTTTAATTTGCGGATTGTTTGGTTGCTTAGAAATTTTTTTTTTCTCTAGATGTATGTACTTTGATTTTGATTAGTTATTTTTTAATATTTTATATCAATTAAAATAATTATTTCATAAATATTAATTTTATTTAAAAATACATAAAATTCAAACTCATTAAATAGTTTTGTATGAATAATCACTTATCAATTCAAACTCATATTTTAGGATTCCTCGAAGCCAATATTCTAGAAGGATAAAAAAAAAATCTAAATACACACAATTAAGATTCGATTCCCTTATACATATCTTATATATATTTTTAAGTTTTGATGAAAAGATAGAAATATGTAATGAGTATTTTATGTGTTACGAGTTTCTCTAGAATTTAAGTTCCTCGAGGTCTACATGAGACCTTGTGATTAATATGACACGATGAAAAATTTAATTTTTCTTTGCTAATTTAAGTAAAAGTTATCAAATTATGTTAAATCTTATGATATATTTTTAATTATTGTTCTATTTTAATTTTTCAAGTTATCTTCTCTCCCTATCCGACAAACTGTTACGGACTTAGCTGGTTTTGCCTAAGTCGTGCGGCACCCTTGCGTGTCCGTCCACAAAGGTCAACCTCCCCGAAGCCTCCCATGTCCCTTAGGACCCACAAAAGAGAGGACGGGTTAGAAAAAATGCCTTATTCGGGATCCACAAGCAAACATCTCCGAAAAACACTTTATAGACAATGTAAATTACAAACAGACTTTACAAACTCTGAACAGTTGCACAATAAAGGGTAAAATGGTCTATTATAGACCGAAAATCTCTCACACGTGTCCACATGACATAACCTTTATTTACAAACCTAAAATGACCACCAACCTAAGTAAAATGGGATTATTAAGCCTTCGGCCGCCCCTCTACATGTTGTACAAAGCATGAACATATCAAAAGACACGGACATACATAAGCATTACATCAAACATCCTATTTAAAAGTTTGTCCGTGACAAAACGATGATATCTCGATGCAAATGATAGGCTATCATGTCAAATATATGGTCTCTTGTCTGATTATTTGAATCATATGGATGTAGCAGTAAGCATAAAAATAAATCCCACTCACTAAGCTCCTACTAAGCTTCAATTCTCATCTCATCTCATTCTCTTGTCTGAGATGAGATGAGAATTGAAGTGGAGCTGCAGAAGCCCTACTTGAGCTCCATCCCACTCACTAAGCTCTCCTAGGAACCCCCATCGCATCGCAGAAGTGCAACTAATGCAATGCTGCTTCTCCATCTACTAACTCGCCTCCTAATCTCATCTCGCCCTGCTTCTTTTGCGCTCAGTGTGGAGACTGATTGATTAATGGATGTTAGCTGGGGTACCAAGATTGGATGGTACGGGTGAGATCAAGCCTTCCCTGTGTCAATCAATGCAGGAAAGAGGGATGCCAGAAGGCAGGCATGTGAAGAGATGATGGAGTCGGATGATGGTTTTAGCAAGCTCCAACATGAAGTTGTCTACCTGTGACTGTTCGAGCTTGAAATGTGGAAAGAGTTGCAGCTCGAGGACCCACCTCATTACCATCCCCACCTGCATCAGGAAACCCTCCATTAAATGTCAGTGATAGATTTGGCTACGCCGCACTCTCATACCAAAAGTGCTACACTCCTCTTCTGCACAACCATCATCTCTTATGTTTCGCGAGGAAGACAGGCACAGGACCATTGCTGAGATCTCAGTTGGCGTCATTCGCACTCGTGTTAATCTCAAACACAAGCTGAGCAGCTCAAGAGAATCCACTAAGCTTATGTAGAGAGAGATAGAGAGAGAGAGAGAGAGAGACCGTACGAGCAGGACGGTGAAATGGAAAGGAGAGCATGCAGTTCTACGGCTCACAATAATTGATCGATCACCGTCCTCCTCCTCCTCCTTCTCCTCCGCCTTTGCGTCTCTTTTTACCGCAGTAACTATGAACGCACGCACGCACGCACGCGCCATTCCGCAGGCGAAAGCAGAGCTGAAGCCATGCAGTCGCTGTACTTGCTGGCTTTCGCCTTCCACCTCCCCTGCTTCACCCGTCTCCCTCACAATAGGAAAGCCCCTGGCGCGGCTTTCACTCCCAACAGTGGAAGCTTTGCCGGTGAAGAACCCAAAACCAGCTCAAATCTGATACGCTTCTGTGGAATGAAGCCACGGAGACGGACGCGGACGGAGCGGCGTTGCTTCAAATTATGGCATCGGTGAGTGGGATGGGATGGGGTGGGGACGCGGGAGGGGTCACCGTCAGGAATTCACATACGGAGTAGCCAACAAAGGTGGGGGTGATGCAGGAACAGCGATGCTGCTGTGTCTGGTGACCAGAGGCCGCCATATAATACACCATTACTCCTCCGTGTATTTGAATCCGCACCTCGCTTTCCTTGCCTCTCCTGCCCCCCTCTCCAACTTGCTCTGCAACTTGGCAGGGCGCAGGGCAGGCCACCGAGCGCACGTGGGTCAGGTGGTGGCTCGATGCTCGAGCCGGGTCCTGACACCCAGTCGCGTGTGGTGCAGCAACCCATTGACATGGTGATCCACCTGGGAGTCAACAAAAGGAAGGCTTCCCCAGGCTTTGATCGGCGCCATGAAAGACCACATATCAAAAGAAGAGAAAAGAAGGAGACACATCGGATCGCTACCGGCCTCCTAACCATCTCCTCTCCGCGAGTTGGTGCACCAGAGGCCGGTCGAGAGAGAGAGAGAGAGAGAGGCGGGCAGGCCAAGATGGAGTAAAATAATCAAACACATTGTGATCATAATGTAAGCGGGGGATAAAGTTGGGGATGTCCGTGCTGCTGTATCTATCCATCAAAGGAGGGGGCGAGGTGGGGCAACCTGGAGTTGACTGGCAGATGAGTATTCTACTGCTACTGCTGGATCATCTTACGAGGGTAGGAGGAGTCTGCTGCATCGACTGGAGGGGTCAGTGTGCAAAGGTTTTTTCTTTTGGAAAGGAAATTTCTTGAAAAGAAGAGATGGTTGTGTTGGGATGAGCTGTCATCAGCATTAGATGCTTTATCTGACGCCCACCTGCGATGTCTGGCTGCTGCTGCTGCTGCTGCTGCTGCTGCTGCTCCATATTACCGCAGGGGAGCAGTAATAATCATAGACCGAATCCTGCATCAACCAAGTAGGAAGTGAGATTAGCATTGGGCAGTGATGGAATGAAGTGAAAGAGACATGGGTTTGCTAGGTTTTTAACTGCATCTTTCTAAACCAGCAGTCTATATTCATTATTCTGTTCGAGGCCCCACGAGTGGTTCTCAGACTCGAAGCAGTGACAGAGAAAGGAAGAGAGGGAGAGAGAGGAATCATAAGAAAGAGAGAGAGAGAGAGAGAGGTGAGGGAAAAGAGAAGAGAAGAGAAGAGAAGGGGGGAAAAAAGCTGAGGCCTGAGGGAATTAGGGTTTAGGATCTAAATCTCCGCGACCCTCCTTTGCTTTCCGCTCCTCTCAACACATCGCCTTCTTTGTGTTCGTATTTTATTGGTAGTCTCTCTCGCTCACTCACACACACACACACACACACACACTCTCTCTCGGTCTCGCTTCTGTGTCTGTGCGTTTAAACGATCTAAAGTTGCGTCTTCCCCACCTCCCATCCGCTCTCCCTTTCTCTCTTGCTCGCGTGCGTTCGTTCTTCTTTCTTCCATTCTCGCCCACACTGACGCGCGCGCACAGGGGACGACAGTGAATCAAGAGAGGAGAGAGCCCCACGCCAGTCTTCCAGCCAAGTATGCAGCGGCCCCCTGCACGTGTTCCCCCTCGCAAACCCTAACTAGGTTCTCTCTCTCTCTCTCTCTCTTCCTCTTATTATTTCTTCGGATTTTTTTTTACGAAAAATCTCATAAAGAAATATATAGAGTTCGAGAGGAAAAGAGAGAGAGAGAAAAAAAAAAGGAAAAGGAAATAATTGCTGTGGATTTATAGGGGAGATTAGAGAACAGTAAAGGAAGATATGGAAAAAAGTGAGCATGGTAGGCATGGAGGAGGAGGAGGAGGAGGAGGAGGAGGTAGAGGGGGAAGAGTTCCAACAAATAGCAACAGCAGCAGTGGAACCAGCAGCAGTAGAAGCACTTCGGAACACCACCAGCAACAGCACTACTTTGGCCATCATCACCAACAGCAGCAGCAAGGAAGCAACAGCAGGCCGTCGACGCTCGACAAGGTCGCCTTCGAGAGCCGCGGCTCCGTAGCCCCCTTCATGGGCTCCATCATCCACCACGGTGCGTCTGGCCGAGGCGTCGTCGACGCCTCCCTGGCCATCTCCACCGCCAAACCTGACCCCGGCGGGGCCGTTGGCCCCTCCTCCTCCTCTCCCGCTGCCGAGGCGTCCAAGAAACTCGCAGTCGCTGGCACCCCGGCCAAAAGATCCTCCAAGGACCGTCACACTAAGGTCGACGGCCGCGGCCGCCGGATCCGCATGCCGGCTATCTGCGCCGCGCGTGTGTTTCAGCTGACGCGGGAGCTCGGGCACAAGACCGACGGCGAGACCATCGAGTGGCTGCTGCAGCAGGCCGAGCCGGCAATCATAGCTGCCACTGGTACCGGTACGATCCCAGCCAACTTCTCCACGCTCAACATCTCGCTGAGGAGTAGCGGCTCCTCCTTCTCCGCCCCGGCCTCCAAGTCCGCCCCGCTCTCCTTTCACGCGCTCGCCCTCGCCCACCACCGCCCCGACTTCGAGCTGGTGACAGACCCTGGTGCTGCCGCAATGCTCGGCTTCCACCAGCTCCACCATCATCCCCACCAGCACCAGCTCCTGTCCGCCGACCAGATCGGGGAAGGCTTACAAGGCGGAGTCGGCAGTGGCGGTGGCGACTCCACCGACACCTATTTGAGGAAACGATTTAGAGGAGATCTCTTCAAAGACGAGCAACAGACTCCTCCCCAGCATCAGGAAGGAGGCGGAGGGGCCGGCCCCTCGTCGCCGTCGTCGGTCTCCAAGTCCATGAGGGCGGGCAGCGGGCTCCAATTGCAGCAGCGATCACAGCAACAAGACGCAGCAGCTGCAGGACTGACGAGGCCGCCAGGGATCCTCCCTGCGGCGGCAATGTGGGCAGTTGCCCCGAACAGCGCAGCTGGCGGAGCGTTCTGGATGCTTCCCATGTCCGCAGGGTCAGCCGCGCCGGCAGTGGCCGCGGCCACCGGGTCCTCAGAGCCGTCCATCTGGACGTTCCCGGCCATGGCCGGGCAGTACCGCGGCGGGATCAGCGGCGGCAGCACCATCCAAGCGCCACTCCAATTCATGTCACGAGTAAACTTACCTGGTGCCGCCGACTTCCAAGGTGGCCGTGCTCTGCCGCTGGGATCGATGGTGCTGCAGCAGCCCACGAGCGGCGTGGCGGCTCAGCATCTCGGCCTGGGAACGTCCGAGACTAACCTGGGCATGCTTGCGGCGCTCAACGCGTATAATAGAGGAGGTGGCCTGAGCATGAATTCTGAGCACCACCACCCAATGGATCACCATCACCAAGCCCACACCCATCAGCAACAGCAAAGCGCAGACAGTGACGAGGACAACCACACCAGTTCACAGTAGAGGCGAGGAGAATTCGCATTTGCGTCATCCCACCGTGTTCAGTAAGATCCTAAGCATGCATGGTAGAAACAAACAATCCAATTGGAGCTTCGAATCCAGGAAACGGAGACTGTCCCTCCCCCTTTTCCTTCTTCTTCTTCTTATTCTTCTTCTTCTTCTTCTCTTTTGACTTGCAGAAGGTGAGCTTGGCGTGCAAAAAAGAACCCTTTAAATTAATGGACAGTGTTCTTTCAGCTTGTGAAAGAATACTTCCATCGCTTCTCTTTCTTTTATTTTTGTTCTATTCTGCTTGAGTGTTGTGATTTTAAGAACCTGATTTGTGGGTCCAAATGGGCCGCAAGAGTGGGGAACAAAGATTTGTATAGGGATCCAATTCGTCTCTGTAGTATAATTCTTTGTTTGTTCGAGAGAGAGAGAGAGAGAGAGAGAGTAGCTTTTGATGGCTAAGTACTCACAATCTTTCCTTCACCTGCCAAACCTTTTACCCGGGTGCATCTTCCTCCTCGGTTTCATGTAATCTCTGATCTAGACTTCTGCAATGGCTCTTCTTTCTATTTTCACGTTCATGGGGGTTCTCTATCTCCGGTTGTCTTTGATGTGTGTCGTCGGAAGAGCCACCGAGCGATAATAAAAATGAAGGGCTTTCGCTGTCACAGCCAAAACTAGGCAAACATCCTCATCTCCACGGGGAGCGAGCTGCAAAGGCTAATCCCAAATGACCAAGTCCTAAATGGCCATTTATTAAGGGGGTGGCTTTTTGTACCGTGCTCCGACGCGTTGTGGCCTCGAGATCTGTGGATTCCAGTCGTGAGACGTCCGTGTCCTAAGCCACCAACAGGAGATGCACGCACCCCGACACAGAGAGAGATAGAGCCAGCAATGACGGTGGGAAGAATTCCTGCGTCACCTTTACAAGAATTGGGGCTTAAATCTCTTCGCCGGCTGTGTCATGATAGATATACAATTCCTCGTACGTCTGCCCCCTAAAAAGAAGTAATGAAGCGTTATAAACACAGTATCGGAGCTGGCGTGCCTCGAAGTGCAGGAAAGGTGTTTGTGATAATGCCAAAGATATTGTGTAACCCTGTAACAGCCGTTATTTAAAAGGGTGGGGGGAGTAGGAGTCACTCACAGTGGGTTACACAAGACGGCGATCGATGATGACGGCTTCTGTGTGGTCACGGAGGTAACAGGACAGGCACATCAAAGTCTGGGAACGCTGTAACGGAGGAGGAGGAAAGAGGACAGTACACCGTGTGCCGTTGCTCGCCCATCAAAGCTATCAGTGGCCGTACATTTCTAATCAGGATCGTACGAGGCCGGACACGTGGGGAGGGGCCGTGCTCCTCTGACCCCTCTCATCATGTTGTCTCCGCCCGGCGATGAGATTCGACTCACTTTCCCGCTCTGCTTTTATTGTCGTTGGTGCAGTGAAAGTGTTTGTCCCCGTACCTATATAATGTTATTATTTTCATGATTTGATGGGCTCAAACATGAACCCTAATTGCTCTGTTTTAGTGATTAGACTGGAACTGGTTGCGTCAGGAGAAGCATGGCCCTGCCTTACCTTCTCCATCGCCTCTTTGTAATGTCGATAGTGATGCTGCATACGAGATGCACTCGCATCTCGCACCTGATGCTGACTGCCATCGACTGAACGTTTGCGGCTCAGCTCACCAGTGCTCTGTAGCAACAGGTTTGCCTCGATTTAGCAGTCCATCACAAACAACGTATTAATTGCCATGAAAAGTATAATCAAGACCAGACTAAATACAACCCAAAGCAATGAACATAGTCGCTGCAATGTTGCTCCACAAACCTGTATGTTAGCAACCCAAAGCATAGTCACTGTAATAAGAGAGAAGGATCCACTAACCCTTTCAGTTTACGACAGATAGCTTGGCGAAGCTTCAAAGTTCCAGCATTAGGCGTGTACCCTTCCCGAATAGGGTTCATCCCCGCCTAAAATGAACCGAAACCAGATGACGATAGGAGTTGGGAAACTAATCGTAGAACCCAAGTTGCAAGGAAGGACCTACCCGGCGATGGCGGCGGGAGTCGGGCTGGCCGGTAGCAAGACCGATGACAGGAAAACCAGAGAGCGGTGGCGTGATCGGTGAGTGGCCATAGTCTTGGATGGCTTCAGGGGTTGAACCCTGGGGGGCTCACCGTGGTATCCACCGGCATCGGCATCGGCATCGTGTCCGCCATCAGATATTCTCCTGCCGCAGCTGCTTTCACGATTGGTTTGGCCCAAAGACTACATGCACAACAGATCAAATCACAAAGTATCATTAAGAAAAATTGCAGAAAAAAAGAAGGAAGAAAATGAAGGATGGAATAGAGATCGTAACTGGGAGGAGAAAGATCGAGGGGGATGTGGAGGGAGCGGAGAGATCGAAGAGAGAAGGGGGATCTTCTGGGAAAGAGAGGCGGTGGTGGTGGCGTCGGAATATGTGAGATGCCGATCAGACAGATGGGTTTATATATTGGGTGCTCTGAATTCCAAGCGACAGCTTGCCGCTCGAAGGAATTATCCAAATCACTCTCTTTGTTGCTTGCTTCACCGACTTCTACCAAAAGAAAGAAAGGAGACGGAGGAGACGCGTCTTCTTTGAAACGATCATGCGCCATTGGATGTGAAGATTGGTGAGGAACAAACGGGAGGAAGAGCGAGCGGGTGGCCATGAAAACGTGAGGCGGACAGAACACCCCTGAAAATTAGCTCTGATGAGTGAGACACATGCAAGTCATCACCTGGGCATAACGCCCTCGAAAGAACCAAGACTGATGAAACGGAACAGTATGCGATGGCTGGATGAGCGTGTGGGATTACCTGATGTTGTCACTTCACGACCATCGAGGCTTGGCTCTGGTCACCCACGGTAGACGTGATGTACGACCGAGCTCGTGCTTTCCCTGAAAAGAAAACTGCAACATTCTTGCTGACTCGGTCGTACATCGTGCGAAATTTTCTCCTCAAATGTACCGAAACTTACACGAGGTATACAAATGTCAAAATGGCCTGTTAAAATGGACATAACATTAAATATTTAGTATTCTACATCAGACTCGGTTTTGCGAGTCCAAACCAAAAAGGAGAGAAAAGAGAAGTCAGCTGATACAAAACTTGTTGGCCACAGTAAAACGAGTTCAAAGATAACTGTCCTCGACCCACACCGACGACCATAGAAAGTACTGGCGCAACTTATCAGCAGCAGCACAAGAACTTGTCTTGTAATTGCATCAACATTCCTCCTGAACATGGAAAATTGTAAGTGCAATGACAGACTAATGGACTGTGTGAGTCAAGTGCAGCAGTCAAGTTTTGCCCGTTTTGCTTGAAATTGCTTCATCCAATCTTGACACTCCTCTGAGGTTCCTTCAGGATGAGCAAGTTGCCACTTTAGCAGCTTTTGTTGCTGTCAAGAAGGGATTTGTTCATAAGCATTCCGAGTGTGAGAATTAGTGCTGGGAGTGAAATCATATTATCTTACCCATTCCCTGACCAGCGGACCACCTGTCTTTAGTTGTAGAAAATTCATGATTGCCTTTCCATCAAGCAATGGTTTCACTTCCCACACCTGATCAAGACCTGCCGAGACACTTGGCCCTCAGAATCTGACTCATGCAATTAATTGAAAGCAGCAGTAGAGCAACAAACAATATGAAAATACACAAGGAAACAGCTTGGAAAGAATAAATAGTTCATGGTAAGCAGATGTAGCAAGAAGTTAAAACTAATATATGCTGAAATAAAATATCTTAAGTCTTGTTAATAACCATATTTATGCAAGAATCAGAATTATAAGTAGGGGTAATATCTTACCTAATTCAGTTACAATCCTCTGAACTTTTGAAAACATTTTCCTTCTTTCTGATTCTGACTGTCCGCTTGAAGGGTCATCATTGTGGTCAACTCTGCAGTATAATAGAGTTGATGCTAGCAAAGAAACACGCCAAAAATCTTTAATTTGTCGCAGAAGAAGTCCTGTGCATTTGTAAAAGCCAAAATTGGTTAAGAATCCACATCGAGTTCTGAGAGTCTCAATTCTCAGGATGTTAAAATCAGAGGAGAAAGAAAAACAACATTGCAAAATTAAAGCTAAAAAATATACTACAATGTTGGTTGTTGAAATGAAAGCTTCAGAATCAAAGTTCCTGGTAATTTCTAAAAGATGATTTGCTAGTGCTGCAGTGCCAATATGCTACTATTTGTCAAATTGTTCAGGTAGTTGTCAATCACGCTTCTAGTTATGATGTATATCCTAGTTAAAGACAGAACACAAATCTTCAACATCCTAATCATTTCAGAACCGAAGCATCTATGATGCCAGATCAAACAGAATGTCAAGGAGCTGGCATGCAACATGTATTAATGCACATAGTAAGCCAAGACATTAACTGATCTGAGCTGTAAATGTTCACATTTACTCCATGTGTCATGAAAATAAGCCTATTCCATGGCTAATCCTAAGCTTTCCAATTTTCCTTTCCTTGACAAGCCAAATACTGTTCAAGTTCAGCTGCTCATATATGAGCTTAAATGAGTCATTTAATGGGGGCAGAAAGATCAGCCAACCCCAACACGTTTGATAATCATGTGCCATATCATCCTAAACAATGGGAGGATGGAAGCATCTAGTATGCCAGATAAAAGAGTACAGATAGGAAGCTGAACTGTAACATGTACAGATGCACAATGTACGTAAAAAATAAGCTGACCGGAGCTGTAAATGTTCTAGTTTACTTTATATTTGGGGTGCGATGAATCCACTAACCTAACATGCTTAATTACCATGTCAATATCCTTGTCTCAAGTCTAACCCTCTGAGTATGGAACAACCTATTTAGCCTTCATCACTGGTTTTGTATAGTTGGATTCCAACATGCTGCTTTGGTATGGAAGCTATAAATAATGCAAGGAAATACCACAAGTATATAAAATGCAGCATTTCTTAACCTGCCAAAACCCTTCTTTTTGAAGTCAGAGGTATGTCAAGGAATTCATCAGCAAGCTCTGCATCAACAAATTCTGAATCTTCGTTTGACTCCAGTAAAGGAATTAAGTAAACGAACCTCTCAGATGCAACATGCAAATTCATCACCTAGAAGTTGAATTTTGTAACATATTGAAGATGGCAAGTAGAAATAGGCTATCTTACAAAAAGATAAATGATTGTGCAACACTAAAATTTGCAACTGAACATGAGATGTAGCTTGTTAATGGGGTAAGAATTCTGACCATCTCAGCATCACTAGCCTTCAACTTAAGGGAATCCCGAAAGACAAAGCTGGTGACAGGTACCTGATAATTAGATCACTCAGATAAATCTAGAAAGAGTATGAAAAATAAGCTGGTGACTGATTAAGCAATTAGGATTAAGGCGTAAAAAGCAAACATTATTGAAGAATGAACAAGTTCTTGCACTCAAGACAAAGTCTGACTCTTCCCTAATCAATGTACACGTTTTAGATATAGCATAAGCAAGTTAAATCTACTCACCATTTTAGATTTTCTATCCATGTACACCATACTTCTAAATGGAAGAAACAATGCCGCATATAAGTAGAGCCTTCGGTGTTCATCCTGAAATTTGTATTGCAACTACTTAAACCAATTACACAAATAAAAGACCAAATGACTGTTTAATATAAGAATGCTTTTAAAAATTAGAAGTCAAGTATTTATCATGAAGTCAAATACATACTGGAAAGGATGACTTAGCATGTAATTTCATCCCAAAAAAGGAAAAAGTAGTCCATATATTCATATGTGGTTTCTTATTATGAGGCAGAAATTGGACAGTATGCACATTAACAATAAAAGAAGCAACACAATGCATCAACGGAAACCTTTATATTACATGAAGAAAAAGATCTCACATAGGGCAAGACTTTTGCATGTTGAGCTCCAGGGTCACCCCTGTGATGCATTGATCTTACTCCTTTTGTGCGAGGAATTCCAGGATTAAACATCAATTAGAGGCCAAGAAACTACAGTAAATAATTCAATGTGTGGAACGGTACAAGCATGTAAAGGAGTTAAACTGTCATGCTGTTAAGGTCAAACAACTGCATTAGGCATGGTTGCAACCAGATCTGTCAAAGTAGCAAAAGGTTCTGCATATGAAACAAAAATATAGCACTCTCAAAATAATTAACTCACACTAAATATTGAGTGGCCAACACACTGCAGAAGATTCCATGCTGCATCCAAATACGAAACACAAATCCTGCTCAGTAGTAGGACCAGAAATGATCAACAAGGGTTTTACATTGTAATGTGACAAAAAATCAATAAAAGAACTAAAAAATGATATAAATGCTGGGACTCAGGAAGCTTGACAGACTTCACAAGAAGAATTTGCTAACTATTTTCCAAAAGGCAAACAAGTTACTACTGGTAATAAGTTGTTAATAACATGCCAGGATAAAGAAAAATCACATTTGCATTCAAAAGAAAGTGAGGTGT